GTGGAACCATCTTTTCGCAACTATTGCAGAACCTGCCGCATCAAGGTCAGTACACAGAGAGGAACAAACAGGGCAGGTATCATTGGTCCTCTCGGAGATGTCAGTTGAGGTTGGCTGTCAGATGTAAACTTCCCTTAGATATCAGGCTGAAGCAGAATGTCTAATGTACTGTCCAGCATGATCCACTTCTGATGTCAATTCTGGTACCAGTGTGCACCAAAAAGGACCAACTGATACTGTCTACTTCATTGTTAGATTTAGATCGGTTTTCAATCATTTCCAACCCAAAAAACGGGGGGACCACCATGTTTTCCGCGGTCGATTACCAGCAGGGCTGTAGCTTGGCTGCTGACCGTCCTACTGGATGGGGGTTCTCCTTACAGTAGTGGATCCGGAATTAGGATCTGATGGAGTAATCTCGACACCAGAGGGTTTTACAGAATATTTCGTCAAAAGGAATATTTAATTCTTTTTAAAACAAAAACATATACTGAAAAATATACACATACCAAATTTGGAAACGATTGTTTTACATAACAATTTTGCAGGGATGTTTCCATCAGGGATCACCCTCCTCCTTTAACTATTATCTCTTTTTGCGGTGTCAGCTCCTCTCCCCAGACCCAATCTTGTATTGATAATGGCAGAATGATATAGGTTGGGGGACGTGGCCCCAAAAAACCCTTGACCTTAAACTACACACCCAACCATAGCTAAGCTTGCATCCCAAGGAGTACGCTCACCGGGACTACACAGTGCTGCTTCAGTCTGCACTCCCCTCTCGAGCAGGACTACTGAGGCAGGGGTTGGGGCAGAGGACTGGGGTCATACATAAACTTCGGTTGTTTACGCGGAAAGGGGGCTTGGCAACTTAGTGAGCACCCACTATGGCAGATTATTTGGAAAAGTGGGGTACAAAACTGGGATAATCGGGAAAGTGGCACTTAGGGTCACCCCCACCTCCCCAAAAAAACAAATCCACCCTGTCTCGAGGCTTTGATTACTATTTTGGGCTTCCCTTACTCAAACGATATGGGGTGGCCTAACAAATCATCTCCCGTCTACAACATCAAGTGGAATCCCTATTGTGGAGTCCAACATAAGGAACCTGTCTCTGCCACTTTTTGAAAATAGGGAGATTTATTGAGCACATGTAGAATTGATAACTCTAACTGAAACGGATATCTAAGAAAAGCTTGCAGTTCATTAGTACCTCTTTAGAAGAAAGAAAACCCTTTTTTCTTTTACAATTCCAATGACCCACGTGCATGTTCCTTTATTACTTTGCTAAACAGGAAAACTGGAAATCACTTTATCGGACACCGTTATTGAACTGGACCAGTATGTAGGTTAAGCTGATCAATTTTTTAAAGCAAAACCAACTCGAAAAGCACACACTCGTCCATTTTTACTTCAGACAACGGACCTTGTGAATCAAATGTGACCCTTGCAGGTGACTTCACAAAAACTTATTTGGGAGAGTGGCAGAAAACGAAGGAGGAGGGTGGATGTCCAGTTAAGATGACCACATGGGAAGGAGGTCACAGGGTCCATTCGTGGTATCTTGCCGGAGCATTACCTAAGGGCAGGTCAGCGGGGATTTGGTGAGCGCCTATGTATTCTCCCTACGTTGGCTCAGCTATCAATCTTTTCCCTGCCCAAATGACCGAGTGTGCGATGGGATTCCTTTGGCATTTGTTGTTCCACTGAAAGACTACCGCACTCTCTCCACCCGGATGTAGGCTCCTGGAGTCTGGTCAGTTAGGTATGGCAAGTAAAAAGATTACTACGCTACGAAACCTAAGCACGACGTGAGAATAAAACGTAGGGCAGGCTTCCTGTACCACACCCCGCTCTGGTGTTTGACCTGGAAAATGACAACAGGCGAGGAGCTCTCCGCTCAGTCTACAGAGGTCCCGGAGGTCTTTATTACACGGTAGCGTCTTTCAAGAAGAGTATGCGAGACAGTATTCACACCAGTTTTAGGTCCACCAGTGAACTGGGAAAACCGATGAGGATGTGGCAGCTGTTGTAATAAACATCACAAGTACTGCGCCTTGTTCAGTGGTCCATTAGTGGAGGTACACTATGTTGTAATGTTTAAAACATAGTACTACACTATCTTGTGAAGGCTTTGTTTTTAGAAGTTAAATAATACAGTAAAACCCCGATTTACTGCGGCTGTTTTCTTTCTCCCTAACTGTATAATATCGGTGATTCTGGCATCTGGAATTATAGATGATAGATGAGAAGCTATCTGAAATTGGGTTACATTTTTAGCTCACTGTCTTTGGGATCTTCTGGGGTAAAAATCATTATTGTAATTATGATTTTTGCAATTTATTACAAGTCTTGATTTTATTAATATTTTCATAATATTAATTAACATTTTATATATTTTTATAATTAATTGACTTTTTAAAACAAATTTTGTCTATTTTTTAATTGATTATTGTTTTATGTATATTCTGACAAGGTTTTTTATTTAGATGTTGTGTTTATCATGGAGCTCACTACTACATTTTAGTATGGAACATTAATAAGATAAAATTATTTATTCTAATCATAGTATTTTTAATAATGTTAAATCGAAAAATATACGATATTTTAAGTTCATCGTCATCAAATTAACAAACTATCTTTAGCCAGGGCTCCAGGAATCAAGAAATATCATTATGTTACCTAAAGTGAGTGTACCGATGGACTTTGGAAGGCACCTGATAGGATTCCCGACTCACAGCAACCTTAAACTAAACACAAGTGAGGGGAGGTGTGGTACGAGCCAGGTTCAGTGATCCTATCTTCAACAGGCCCCGTCATTGATCACATGACAACCACCCCTTCACATGACCAGTGTGGACATGTTGGGGGCTCAGTAAAGCTGCTGTTCTGCTGATTGTTGATGCAGCTTTACTCTGAACTGCCAGAGGGATAACAGGAACAGTTTCAGGGACATCTACAAGATGGCTAATGTGTTTGAAAATGTCTTGGTTGAGCTGAAAAAGCTGTGCTGAATATTTTACTAAAGGTAGCTGACTCGGTTAAACCCACCATCTTATACTGAACTACTTTATCTATTTGAAGAAGCAGTTTTGTTTATGAGAAGCGGAAGATAAAAGGATTATTTAATCTTACCATCAAGAAGATTGAGATAATGAAGTGGAAACAGGAGTTTTTAGACAGGAAATCTTCAGAATGCAGGACTGATTTTCTACCGAAACTAGACATGGTGAATAGAGCTAGCTGGTTCTGAAGTAAAATGAGTTTAACTGTTTGTGTACCAAACTTCGAACTTAAGCGTTTATCAGAACAGTTTTAAAGTCTAGGTTCCAGGCTTTCTGTTTCTTGTGAGTATCTTCTGGGAAACTCTAATCTTTTCCTCTGTAAAAAGTCTGATGCAGATTTGTTTAGAACCGTTTTATTTGATGTTTTGGTTGAACTTCCAGATGAGAGAATAAGATGGACTTTTGAGCTTCTTCGCAAAAGTTCCAAAAAGAGAACTGAGTTGGCTCATAGTTCTGATGAATTAAGTGGATCCAGCTCAACAACAGTATCTAGATGTAACATTATACCCAACTTGTACCATGATATGGATATGAACATGTCATTTAATCAGTTGTTGGACTGGCTGTCTGTGTCTGAAGATGTTACCAGTTTGTTGATGGCTATAGAAGCTGTGTGGACATGGAGCTTGTACCGGTACAATAATCGGAGTAATAAAAATGATAATAGTTATGGTATTGACGTTTCTGTGTTGTCAGCTAAATTAACAGACCTAGTAGAGAAGCGAGGCTGGTTTCTTTTACCGTCCTACTTCATTCACTATAATTTAGGTCTAATGAGTAACAAAGGCCGGTATATGGAGTATAACTTGGAACAATTCTGCATTCCTAATAAACAAGATACCTCACACGCTACCATAATTCCCTGTATTGACCCGTGTTTTGAACCACTAAGTTTACTCTCAGGAGACTCCAAGCTGATCTACCACTTCCAACACCCGTCAGTAACATCTTGTAGTCTACATGGTAAATGTGGGTTTATTCTAAAAACAGTACCCAGTGAAGCTACATTGTGGACCTTGAGACTGTGTACTGATAAAGAAGATTACCTGGGTGAAACAGTGCACTTTCATGATGAGATTAGAGCAGAAAAAATGCATGTTTATATTATTGACGATGAAGATAGCGAACTATTTCCACCATTATCTTGGTTAGGTTGGCTTCATGTTAAAGATGCTCATCAAGAAAGAGACAGCTGGGAGGGGGACTTTATTTCACCTTTTAATATTTACACCATACGAGTTATGTATAGTAAGTGATAGTAAATGCTTGTGACCTCATTGTTTGTTTGTTTGTTTTTACAAGAAACGATTTTGTCTAGTAGAAAACTGACATTTTACTTTTTCACTGCATTGAGGTGATCCCTACAGTATAGAGGACGGTTTTATTGTATTTTACTACTCAGCTATTGAACTACCAAGTGTTTTGATGCGAAACTTAATTCATTGTGTTTGACAAGAATTAAGTTTCTTTTGTAATTTCCCGATCCGTGATGCCATATTTTATCATATTCCATACAACCTGGGGACCCCAGTCTTTACTGTTTATAAACATAACATGTAGATATGGCGAAGTGACAGGCCGAGGCCCCGCCCAGTTATAATTGTTAATTCCATATCGAATTTGAAAATCGTGTATATTTCTATGTGACCATATGTTTATCGTTTATGCAATCTGACACGGTTACGTGCAAAATAGTATAATACCTTAATACTAACTCGAAATAATATGCTATCAATTAGTGCCTAGGGCTATACGTGCATGGTGAAATTAACAATTTACTTGATCGGTTCAGCAGGCCACTAATAATTTAATTCAGAATATCTCGCAAAATAACTTCGGCACGCGCAGGATAGTCATTATATAATAATGCTCCTTCATCTGTGATAGCTAGGAAAAAAGGGATTTCTTGTTTTTCTTAACCACCATTTTCTTCACAGATGGATTCAAATTTAAATATTATGAAACAAGAAAATGGTTGATGTTTTAAAAACTGACTACAATGGTAGAAATACTTCTGCACGCAGTGATGACCAAACGGTCAAGGGGTCAATCAAAATTCGGGAGAATGAACTTCAAGAAGCGTCTGTTTATTTTGACTAGTGAATCTGTAAAGTACAATTCAGGTAATGATCTGTTAGTATAGTGGATGAGTTACATAGTGGATAGAATTGCAATTGTTTGGTTACAAATGATGACTTACATTGGCATTAGTCTACTGTGAAGTGTGTAGTAATTGTTTAGATCTTAAATTTTATAAGAAACTATTGATGTTTTTAAAACTTTTAAGCAGGGTAGAATTTGTTAGGTGGGTTTCCATAATTTTCTGTTGGAAATTAAAGTTTTTGATCTCTACTATTTATTGTTCATAAAATGCTCATTGTAGCCAGTTGTTTTTAAAGATTTTCATCATCAATACAGTGAATTTCACGTCCTAAGTGCATATAGGGCCCGATGTAATTGCTATGACCAGTTTACTGGTCAACTGGTGTTTCGGTGTCCCTAATTTTGTTCACACTCGGTCACTTGTCAAGGCATGTAAGGTCATTCGGCAATATTTTCTTTGAAATAAAATGATGTATTTGTGTAACAATTTGAAAGTTTATTGATTTAAAAAAAAAACCTATCTATACAGGCAAATACTTTGAATTTCAGGCAAAGATTTAGATAACACCGGAACAGTAAAGGGAGAGATAAAGCTCTCAAAGATTCAGATAGTGGAAGATGTTTCCGGGGGATCTCTTAGCGGGCAGAATGGTTTCCCATTTCAGGTTTAGTTTTAAACTAATTACAACACTACAAATCTATTACATTTATTGAGAATTATGTAATGTAACGCGATGGAAGTATTTTAAGCGGGCATATCCTGTCCAAACCCAGGATACATGACATAAAATATTCGTTTTCACTTGTTTGCATGAAAAGCATTAATAATCATAATCAGTGATTTCATGATTTGAATCTAAAACAATACACATCGATAGATCAAGATCTACATTAAAACGTTTTATTACATTACAGATAGTATACAACGAAACAAATAATCCTGCAAATGCTGTAAGATTGTATGTGATAGCCGGTTTAAAGAAAGATAAAGAAGAATGGGTTTCAAAACTTCGGATACTTATTGCCCAAAATATGTAAGTTTTGACCTTTAACGCTAACATAGATATATTTTTAATCAGTTCACAGACAATAAGTGCTTTTAATAATGAATATTGCTTGAATAAATCACTCTCTTGCTTGAACCATTTAACCCAAGTATAGCATGTTGCTTATTTAATCGAAACGTAACACATTATCCATCAATAGACACTAGACAGACTAGATGATTGATTAGATAAATAAAGGGCAATCTTCGTAAATTTGTGTTATTCTTACTCCAACACGACTACTTGAACAAACATGTTATTCAGGGCTATAGAAGCATCATATCACCCTGGAATATTCGAGAAAGCAGGTTCATTTTTAAAGTGGAGTTGTTGTGGAGCACTAGCTGTAGAGAGTAAAGGGTGCAAAAACTCATACTTTCATAAAGACGAGGTGAGCAGCAATCTATAAAGTAAAGTTAATTAAGTGTAGTAATTAATGATTTTAGGCTGAAGTAGTTATAGCCTGAAGTCTGAACTAATTTCAGATTTCACTAGTTCTGTGCTTGAAGTACTGTTTTCCGTTTTGTCGTTTTACATCGGTTTCTTAAATGTTCAAATATTTTATTGTTTCTTAAAGTTCAGATTTTCGTAATCACGAACGTACCTATTAATAGTACAAAAGTGATGTTGTAATTAAGTTAACATAATGATGTTTTAGAAAAGGAAATATTATGATGTGAGTATGTAAGATTCAGCTTATTTCTATCTTCTAACAACTAGTTACACATTCTACCAGAGAACTTTCAGCAGTTTTAACACACGTTTGTCGGGTTAGGCTAGATAAATTATCTCCCCATTTGTAGGCTACTTGTGGGGTTGGTGACGCACACAACGTGCACCACCTCCTCCATGTAGTCAGCTCTATTATAAGCAAAACGGTCCGTTCTATTACAAGCACGGTACTGGCACTGACACATTAATTTCAAACTTATTACCACTTTACTGCTTGACTCTACTAGCCGGCCCAACATGGCTACTTTTCGCAACTTTTCTTCTTTCATCTTTTCATGTTGACGGCTAGCACACTGCCCATAACTTTCGCAGTCTTCTTTTTTAACAATTTAGTCCAGACTGACATGACAAGAAGGAGCACTTCTGATATGTTGGATAATAACACATATGTAATATCAGCTGCACCAACACGTATACTCCCTCTCTCCGCCATACTCTAACCACTACCCATATTATACACGTAACAGTAACTAGTGTGAACTACATACTCTACAAGGGTAGAGAGAGAGAGAGAGAGAGAGAGAGAGAGAGAGAGAGAGAGAGAGAGAGAGAGAGAGAGAGAGAGAGAGAGAGAGAGAGAGAGAGAGAGAGAGAGAGAGAGAGAGAGAGAGAGAGAGAGAGAGAGAGAGAGAGAGAGAGAGAGAGAGAGGAGAGAGAGAGAGAGAGAGAGAGAGAGAGAGAGAGAGAGAGAGAGAGAGAGAGAGAGAGAGAGAGAGAGAGAGAGAGAGAGAGAGAGAGAGAGAGAGAGAGAGAGAGAGAGAGAGAGAGAGAGAGAGAGAGAGAGAGAGAGAGAGAGAGAGAGAGAGAGAGAGAGAGAGAGAGAGAGAGAGAGAGAGAGAGAGAGAGAGAGAGAGAGAGAGAGAGAGAGAGAGAGAGAGAGAGAGAGAGAGAGAGAGAGAGAGAGAGAGAGAGAGAGAGAGAGAGAGAGAGAGAGAGAGACCCTAGATAGCGACAAAAACACCACATCTCTCTAGGGATTTGATTTGATGATAGGTTTCCCTATCTTGCTGATTCGTTGTGTCTAATGATATTGGGCAGGATTATTTAGAGGTTGACAGCTGCTGCTTTAGTTAAGCTTCTATTCGGAGTCCTGTGCGCGGCTGTGTGCAGTGTGCAGTGCACAGTGTGCACTGACATATCAAAATGGTGACATTTTACAATTTACATGATGACATAATATTCTTTTATCTTTTTTGGCACACTTTTTTCGGCACTTTTTATCTTCTGAGTGATGACACGCTCTTCCATTGACCTTATTAGCAGTGGCACTTAATACCACAAACAGCAATTAACATTACCTCATATTGTAACAAACAATATCCAACAACATGACCTCACAATAAACACTGTACCAGGTGGACCGAAGAAAAGCACTGATTCCCAAACCGAGCTCGTTTACAGTGGTGGCAGTGTGGGATCTCACAGCACAGCAAGCCTCTACTGACCTCAACCTCACTAGGGTAAGCAAGCCTCTAACCTCACCATGGTAAGCAAGCCTCTACTGACCTCAACCTCACTAGGGTACGTATTTTCGGGTTTTTTTAAATTAAAAAAGAGACGCTGGGACCAGGGTGTTTACATTAACTAATTAATTAATTAATCTTGTCTAGTCTAGGAAATGTAAACTAAAATGTTATGAAATGTTGTTAAATATTTAAGTCTGCTTCGGTCTTCATACAACATAACCTTGGGACCGTGTAAATAAAAAGTAAAGCTAATCTGTACTTCTCAATTTACCTTACTAAATTAATTAACTAAATTGTCAGGGTGAGAAACTGGAAGTGTTAGACTCAGTAACAGATCAACACTGGTGGCGCGCACGTAACGCACACGGACAAGTCGGGATGATCCCCGAGAGTTATGTCCGTAAAGATGGAGTTGAAGTACGGGAGTGGTTCCACAACATTGAGTCCCGGCCCCAAGTTGAGGATTTGTTGAAGGAGCACGGCAAGGATTGTGCGTTTTTAGTGCGGCCGAGTGCGCGAGGAAAAGTCAAGTACAGCATCTCAATATTCTATATGGGACAGGTTAGCATATAACGAGTTTATAAACATTGTAATGTAATGTTCATGTTAGTGGTAGAGTATCTTATAAATCTTGATATTTCTGGTGCAGTTTTACGATACACTTAGTCGAATGTGGACAGTGAGAAGATGGAGAAAATGTATGAAAACTGTTTTCGGAAAGTATAATCAATCATGTATACTATACAGTATACATGAGTTTACATGAGTTGATATGAGTATACATGAGTATACATGAGTAATCATGCAGCCAGTGTGAAGAGTATTGTATAACTGATTCTAACAGAATATATTATCCATACGTCAGACATGTTTCTTATCTTTCGACGATAATAACATTTTATAATATGCTTTTGTTTCCAGGTTAAACACTACCACATCCAGCAAGCTGACGGCTTTTACTGGGTGAACGAGAAAAACAAGTTCCGATCTGTGGACGAGGTGTGTTTTTGTTAAAAATTTGGAAATTAATAGCGAGATTTTGGAAAAAAATATAATTTTGTCTATTCTTTCATTCAAATTTCTGATTGTTCCTGAATAGACTCAGTGAAGACAGATTCTAATGGAAATAAATATAAATAGATAATTATAAAAAATAATTATAAATATTAAAATAATAATAAATATTTGTCTATTCTAGAGCTTGTTTAAAGAAACCCTTAACATCTCATTGTCTGATTAACAATATCTAAAGATAGCACTGTTAGAATATGACACAACAATATGTTTAATAATACTTGTTCTAGTGTTCTACTGCTCTATATCATAGTTTGTAACAGCACATATTAGTATGTACCATGACACAAGATATAAGTCACTTCCTGTTTACAGACCACACTTCTTCTTTGTTTAACACTTCTCATTTCCGTCCCGTACCCTGTTTAACACAATCTACCGGGCTGTAACTTGATATGAAGTGTGCTCTGTTGCTGGCAGAAGTGTGTTGTTGGCAGCACCAGCCACCAATAGCTCCTTTATAATTGTTGGTAGCACCAATATCGTGTACCTAGCTCCTTTATAATTGTGTTATGTAGCTTCGTGATAATTCAATATTGGGGGCCAATTGTTGTGGAGTGGGAGGGCTGTGATCTGTGTAGCCATTGTTGAATTGTTAAACAATTGGTGTATTTCTCCGTAGATGTTAAGAGGCAGTAAAACTAGCGGGATGCGATGAATGGGGACTTGTCACCTCATGACAACATTAAATATATTGGCTTTGTTACATCAAATTCTTCTTCAAATTATTCAAAACTATAAGTATAAGAGTTGTCAAATGTTCACCCAGCTCCAGCCATCCTAAAGTCAAAACCAAACGCTGTTTGAAAATATATGCAATGTAATGTAACTTTAAGTTCCACGACTTTCAAACTTTAAACATCACTCTCAAAGCATACCGCCAGTCCGCCATATGTAGTGTACCAGGCCATAATATGTTTCATATTATGTACAATGTAAATTTATTGTGTATGATTGAATGTCAGTGTATTGTGATTTGTGTAATAATATAATAGTACAATGTACTGTGTGTATCCTAGTGTATTATATACTGGAGTGAAATACAACTGTGAGCAGGTATTTACCCATGATGTTGGCAGTTGGAGTGAAATTTAAGTCATTTCATCATTGAAAATTGGAATATGATCGTTGTAAGCATTCCAATTCTCCATGAGTAGTATCAAGTTCTTTCTTTAGTAGGACATTGAGTCATCCGATCACTCATTACATCCATTGAAAATACTTTAAAAATTCTCTACATCATTCAAAACTTCTTCTCCATTTCTGACAGTCCCCCCTTTTCCAGCTGTTAGACTACCACAGTATGAACTGTGCCGGAATGGTATGCAGACCCCGACACCCTGTACTAAAGGACAGCAAGCCTGCTCCCATACTGGGCAACCAGTTCGGAAACTGGCTCATCGACCCAAAAGAGGTAATGTTTTATACCCCCCCCCCTCCCCCGGGGGAAGTTACTAGTTTCTCTATTATATCATGGATCAGTATAACATTGTTTAAATTCTTCGTGGCTATTTGTGAAATTATTAGCGAACTTGTAGCCGACATCCTAGCTCTGTTTCCGAAGTGTACGTGGTTATTCATGTTATATTGGTGGTTTATTTATTTAATTGTCAACAAACTGTACGTGGTTTCTTGTAAAGAACACTGACAGTTTGGCAAAATTATCCGCTGTTTAGGCTTAGAATACCACGCACAATTACAACTGTTAACATTCTACAATAAACACCTCATTATATAGAACTACGTGGCTTTTGCGGAATGTTTTTCTAGCTAAGCGACTATATTGGATAACTATTAAGTAAAGCGGAACCAATTACATAACCAATTACAATGAATTACATAACAATAAACACCTGTCAGGCGTCAGCTCATATAATTTCTAATCTGATATCTTACTCTGCTTGCACGCTGGACAATATAAAATAAACATTCCTAGCGACAGATAACGGAAATTCTAAACCTACAATTTAAAGAATTCCCTTATTTTAATTTAATCTAATTCTAAGAATAACAATTTGTAAGCTATGATCACCAACACTATGCTAAATGTAAGAGTTATGTTTCTAGGGACGGTTAAATGGCAGATTATATATGGGGCTCCTCGCGGTTCTGATTATCTAGCCACGGTCAACACACCTTTACTGTATATCATGTTTATCTGGTACACTATTATATATATAACTACTGTTGGAACTCAGGAATCACGGTACATCAGTTTCATTAGTATAGTATATTATATATATAACGTAACATGTGTACTGACTTTTGCCCCCCTCCCCCTGTATGTACAATGAAACTCATTAGTAGCGAATAAACAAGACTCACTTTGATTGCCAAAGTTAGCGCCCAATTAACAAGGCCAACTAGCTGTTAACCTCACACAAAACACACATAATGCTATGCTCGAGGTTACTACCCACAAGCTCACAAGGAGTCTATATATAGAACACTCATGATCTGTTACTAAACATTGAACGGGTATCTTCCTCTACACTAAGTGGCTGCGAAAGTCGAAACCCACAATTATCGAGCTCTCCCTTATACTTATTGTATCATTCGACTAGTGATTTGGAACACCAAACACGGGGAGGTTCATTATTTCTGTCCAGTGTCCAGCCTTGGAAATCATGACACACAAAATAAAAACAATCTAATAGTCTAAAAACCAGGCAACTCAGTGTATTGGACCAGCAAAAGTAAGTTTTATCTGATAACACAGAACTGTGTCCTTGATACTCTGACCTCTCTCATTTGGTGTTTAGCTATCTTTGGTATCTAAGTTTCTTTTTGGTGGCTGATTGATCTCGTCTCAGAGACTGTGTATAGATCCCGATAATGTTACAGCTTATAAAAACTGTTATAGTTGGAGTATTGCTGGATATCCAACATGAACTTTAAATTCCTAACGCCATTGCTTCTCACGAACAATGAGGGCTACACCACATCTCCAGCATTTTTCAGCACATTCTAGTTCTCTATATTATCTGGGACAAACTCTTTCTTCTTTCTTCCATGGCACACTAAACTGCACTAAAAATAAGCTTGTAAATCCTCTTTGCATGGTCCTACAAATTATTTAAAGTTCAGGGTAAAATTCCGCAAATATTTCACCCCAAATACCTTCCCAGGTTATCTTTGGTGATGAGATAGGGAACGGCCAGTTCGGTGTGGTCTTCAAGGGAAAGTGGAGGAACTACGATGTGGCTATTAAGACCATGAAGGAGGGATGTATGAACGAGGACGATTTCTATGATGAGGCTAAGATCATGATGAGGTTTAATCATCCCAATTTGTTGAGGTGAGGGAATCCGCTCAGATTATCTACTATCAGATTATTTTTAGTGTTTGTCACGATTTTGCCCTCTGGTGTGTCCATTCTATTGAAAACTGCTGATATAACAATCGTTTAAAATACACCCAAGTTGAAAGTATACCGGCAAATTTTGAAACGCCACTGCCGGTACTTATAAGTTTAAAACTTAAAACTGTACTTAACAGTTTAAAATTAAAGCAATACTTAACAGTTTACACTTTTTAACACAATATAATATAATATTGAATCGACTTTATAGTTTATGGCCTTATTTAAAAAAATGTGAGCTGCATGATATGACTTAAAAGTGGCACGTAGTTTTGCATAACTACAATTACATAACTACATAACTCTGTTAGTGCTATTTAGCAAATATTTTTGGCCACATACTGAGCCTAATAACAGGTGTTATCCCTGGCCTGGTCTGCAAAATCCATTTCGTATTGCACAGATCTAAAAACACTTAGTCAGTATTACATATTGACTAATTGGATTTGCTTAGTTGGCCGCCACCCATGGCAAAACATATCAACAATTAGCTAATGTTAGTTACAGCAAAATGTACACGCCCATTAGTGTTTGACTTAAATTGTGGGAATTTCTAATTTGAAGCTAAAATTGTTCCATATTTTTGCTAGACAATTCTTGGACAATCCGTAGACAACCATCTTAAATTTGATTAACTGAATCACTTTATTTAGTCACATTATTTATTCGTTACATTTACTATCTGATAGCATTTTAAAAGTGAGAAATCGTGCTAGTGTTGTTCGATAAATACGATCTGATTATTTCAATTTCAATTTTTAAATAGGTTCCACGGAATCATCAACCACAAAGGTCAAGTCGCTATCCTAACAGAGTTCATGTCTTTTGGAGACTTGTTCAAATACCTACAGAAGCATCCTGCCTTACCCGGGCAAACTGCTATAGGTTGGTTATTTAAGTGTAGTTACACTCAATGTTTAGAGTCGAGAAGTTGAGTACTTTACAATTAACCATTTCCTACCATTACTGTTATTTAGTGTCAATATATTTCCATGTATTTATAACTTTAGTCTTCGGATCCTGAGTCAGTATTTTCCAGAACGAATATATTTCAATACTTAAATGTAAGTTACATTTTAGTTTTACTTTTGCATAATATATGCTCTACAGTCCGCCAACAATCTAACGTATAACGTGCAATGTAAATTATTATCTCGTTATTTCAGTGATAGACATGTGCAGACAGATAGCTTCAGCAATGAAGTACCTTGAAGACAGCAGGTTTATACACAGGGATTTAGCTGCAAGAAACTGTTTAGTGGGGCACCAGCGAGTTATCAAGGTACGTGGTTAAAAAAATTTAGTACAAATTTAAATTTTATTATTTTTAAATTTTTTCTATTGTTTTATTAGTAATGTATTGATATTTTTCTCAAGCACTACTATGCAGCTATTAATTAACTAAACGTGACGAAAATTGGCCTGTGTCCTGTAACTCCACGAAAGTGTAACTTAACATAGAACTGATTTTTGTAAATTTTTGAAAGAACCCTCCTTAAAGTATAGTGACGAATTCCTTAAAGATGTTTGTGACACTTATAGTACAGCAGCACACCTTATAGATCAACTTTATAGTAGATCTGATTTTGATGCATAGAACTTTACAAAGCAAAAACGCATTTATCCAACTCTAAGTTTCATGTATGAATAATCAATCAATCATCAGGGACACAAATCACAAAACTAAAGTGAATATATTATATCATGTATACTGCATAGTCGTGAAAATAAAAGCTGAAACTGTATAACATAAAACGGACTACTGAAAAGATTTCATAAAATTTAATTCCTGCCTGCTCATAAAATCTATATTGTATCTTTAAATCACAACCATTTAAATATAAGTAATAGCGTCTATTCTTTGACCATTTTCTCAAGAATTGCCATACTCGCCTCTAGTTCAGGGATAGACTTTAGGCACCTATCAGTATCCAAAACCAATCGTTGAAGCAGCAGATCTTTCTCGAACAGTTCCTTTCTGGAGGATTCCCTGACATTGATACAGTTAGCGTTCAGTTTCAGTAGCTGTTCTCTTGCTGCCTGAACTTTATTTTCCCAAGTCTTCTTCTGGAACTTCAGTTTAGCAAGAATGTTGTCCACTTTGTTCATCTCAGTTTCATAGATCTTCTTCACCTCCTCTCGTTCGTTTGTGTTATGCTCCACTTCCTTCTCAAGCTCCTGGATCTGGAGTCTGTGTACCTCCACTGGGTCACACTTCTTCTCAATGTTCACTTTCCTTGTGCACAGTTTAGCTTCTTGGAACTGCAACTTCTGTTTGGAGCGTCTCTGAACGTCGTAATCCTCCTCCTGACTCTTCCTCTTGAGCGTATGTTCCTCATTGAGGCTGGTAACGGTGGTTTCCAGGGTCTTGTTCTTCTCACTTAAAGCTGCTGTTTCCTCCTTTAAAGATTCCAGGTCCAGCTGTAGCTTCTCGATCTCAGCCTCAGCTACTCGTTTTTCTTCGTTCGTTTTGGTTCTGGTATCCTCGGTTTCTCGGTCGATAGCTCTCTTCTGTAGTCTGAGCGTTTCGTGAGTTGCTTTCAGTTGGTCAAGTTCACAAGACATGTTCATGTTGGTGCGATTAAAGTGGTACCTACAGAATAAAGGGTTAGTCGTCCAAATGACTTATCAATCTGAAGTTTATGAAAGTTCAAAAAATAATTGGCTGAAAGCTAGTCGATGCAAATTAAGTCACAAATACAGAATACAGAGAATAAAACTGTTCTAGTTCTTTAAGAAACATACTGAAACGGATTATGTGTTTAAGGTTTCTAACCAAATATTTATACTTACGAAAATTAATTGATTCATTAAGGGTAGTCATCTTACCCCCATCCGTAGCTTCCTATCTTTCACCTGCAATTAATTCCTTGATTAGAATAAAAGCATTATTTTTCAATCCCATTTAATTTTCTGATATCAGTTCCGGAAATCATTAATTTAATATCATGAGATATAGTTCTCATTAGATAATTTAATTGATTGAATTCTACTAAAAAATGGTTAATTAACTATTTTACTAAATATTTAATTAACCTCTTGAGCTGAGAAAGCGAAGGAACCAGTAGAGTTATTGGCCATGATAATCACCAGACAGTTGGATAAAAAGTGAGATGGAGACTGTTTGAAGATGCAACAATTCGTTGAGTAGCCTCCAGCTGTGATCACCATTAGAAAAGAATGTAGAACTATATTAACCTGGTTATATTACCTGCCGTGATTAATACAGACCTGTGTTTAGTCACGTGACCCGTTTTATGAAGTTAGTTTCAGGAGGGTGTTACACTTGATAATACGACATCTAAATATTGACAGTTTTCTCGAGTGAGAACTGTCATCATGAACCGTCACAAACTTGTCATTTTAGCATGATACTACATTTTTGTTGTGATCCCCGATGAATTGTAAGATATGCCTACTAATTGTAAGATACGCCTACTATAAGAGTTTAAGCGTTTATGCCCCTACACCAAATCTGTCCAGCCCAAATGACTTCACAGGAATGCAAATGCCAGTGACCATCTCATGCAAGATTTTCACTCCAACAATTTCTTTACTGTGTACTAGAATCCTTGTTGGACGAACAGATCATAAAGATTGAGATGGTGCTGACTGCATTTAACAGCTGCAGCAGTTCTTACTACCAATACTAACCTAAAACGTAAAATGTTAATTGTAAGACGGACTGATCATATGTTATCACTAGATCATATCAAATTTTCCATGATCCAAAGTTTACTGAAAATGTAAGATAAATATTAAATAACACACTGTTAATTTGTGTGAAAATCATATCCCTACAATATGATTTTCACACAAAACACGTTTTTCTTTCTCTTAAATTGTAAAATATAACCATGGTTTATTGATGGTTATACAAAAATTATAATGGTCTTTTGATCGTTACCACTCGTAAGAATGTGAAAACTAAAATCTTTAATTTTCTAACTTGTTTTTCTACAGTTTGGTTCGGGTTGTAGTGATCCGTCACTGCATGTTGCAGTTTTATCCCCCATGTTGACATATTTCCGATCACATTTGAACTCCACTGATTGGCCGTGTTCTATCGGCAGTGAGAAATCTTTTACGACGTTATCCCAAACTGAACCCAGGTTGGAACACGGGACTGGAATTTGGGGTTTTCGTCAGAATGTAACGAATAAGTTTGGTTGAATTACGGTACTTATAAGCTAGTTCAAAATAATTAAAACGCTACAAACGATTATCTGTAGTCTTTGTGTCTTTATTTGAACGGACATTTATTAGACGCTGGGGGTCCTAGCTTGCATTTTAATGTCCGTTCATAATTATGCCCGTTCACGCAATGTCCGGATAGGACTAATAATGTCCGATAAGGTAATTTCTGATTACAAGTACAAGAGAAGAACTGAACTTACAAGCACAATCACTTTCTTTTTTCCCTTCTCCAGCTGCAACTCCTTTTCCTTCTGGACAGGCTGTACAAGATGGACTTGTATTTCCAGCAACACTCCACGTATCTTCTGGACATTCCACACAGCCGATACTCTGATGAAGGAATTGTCCAGCATCACATGGCTCTGAAAAGAATAATAATAATAATAATAAATTGAATTATAAACACTGCTTTTAAGTTGAAAAACTTTTACTCAGCTGTGTGAGAATAACTACAAAAGAACAAACTGAGATAAGTGCAACAAAAACTCTATCCTACATTAACAGCCTTCCCGGCAATACACGATATAATAATATAACTCAGTAACCTAGAGTGGTAAGAATGGTAATCATAATCTTGAAAATCGTAATTTACAACTTCTAGCGTTTGCACTTCACAACTAAAAGTCCAAAGAGAAGAACTGAACTTACCCCAAGCACAATCACTTTCCTTTCTCCCTTCTCCAGCTGCCACCACTTTCCCTGAAGGACATATCTGGCAAGTAGCTGCGTTATTTCCATCCGAGCTCCACTGATTATCCGGGCAGTTGACACAACCGTCAACCTGGTCAAGACGTTGTCCTGCAGCACATGATTCTGAAAATAGCAGATATTAACCTTATCTACTAATGTAACAATTTCAATCTACAAAGTTGACTGTAGAGTTGATTGTTGATGAACTGTGTTGTTATTACTTATTTAAACAGAGTCTAACTCACTCCATGTGCAGTCATTTAAATGTTTTCCCTGCCCAGCTGCAACACCTTTTCCTTCTGGACAGTCTGTACAAGATGGACTTGTATTTCCAGCAACACTCCACGTATCTTCTGGACATTCCACACAGCCGATACTCTGTTGAAGGAATTGTCCAGCATCACACGGCTCTGAAAAGAAGGAAGATAACCATTGTTCATTGTCTTAAAAATCGTAATTAACAACGTCTAGCGTTTGCACTTCACAACTAAAGGTCCAAAGAGAAGAACTGAACTTACCCCAAGCACAATCACTTTCCTTGCTCCCTTCTCCAGCTGCCACCTTTTTCCCTGAAGGACATATCTGGCAAGTAGCCGCGTTATTTCCATCAGAGCTCCACTGATTATCCGGGCAGTTTACACAACCGTCAACCTGATCAAGACGTTGTCCTGCAGCACATAATTCTGAAAATAGCAGATATTAACCTTCTTTACTAATGTAACAAATAACAATTTCGATTTAAAAATTTGGCATTTGATTGTTGATGAACTGTTTTGTTATAACAGAGTCTAACTCACTCCATGTACAGTCATTTAAATGTTTTCCCTGCCCGACTGCAACACCTTTTCCTTCTGGACAGTCTGTACAAGATGGACTTTTATTTCCAGCAACACTCCACGTATCTTCCGGACATTCCACACAGCCGATACTCTGTTGAAGGAATTGTCCAGCATCACACGGCTCTGAAAAGAAGGAAGGTAACCATTGTTCATTATCTTGAAAATCGTAATTTACAACTTCTAGCGTTTGCACTTCACAACTAAAAGTACAAAGAGAAGAACTGAACTTACCCCAAGTACAATCACTTTCCTTTCTCCCTTCTCCAGCTGCCACCCCTTTCCCTGAAGGACATATCTGGCAAGTAGCCGCGTTATTTCCATCCGAGCTCCACTGATTATCCGGGCAGTTTACACAACCTTCAATCTGGTCAAGACGTTGTCCTGCAGCACATGATTCTGAAAATAGAAGATATTAACCTTCTTTACTAATGTAACAAATAACAATTTCGATCTACAAAGTTGACAGTTGATTGTTGATGAACTGTTTTGTTATAACAGAGTCTAACTCACTCCATGTGCAGTCATTTAAATGTTTTCCCTGCCCAGCTGCAACACCTTTTCCTTCTGGACAGTCTGTACAAGATGGACTTTTATTTCCAGCAACACTCCACGTATCTTCCGGACATTCCACACAGCCGTTACTCTGATCAAAACGTTGTCCTGCAGCGCATGATTCTGAAAATAGCAGATATTAGTTACCTTCTTTACTAAGTTTTCTAAATTAATAATAAGGTGTGTTTGAGGTATTAACTGCTCAATGCTATAATATGTAAAACCATTATAACATTTACCTTTACAACTGAGGGTGTAATAGATTCTACTAGCCACAGGTTTATCCCCCTCCAGAATAAAAGAGATTGAATCAATGCTGGCCAGAAACGTATCTTTATCGCCCGTTAATTCAGTATACGGGATCTCAGCTAAAATCTTTAGAGTCTGAAATTAATAGCATTTAAGCACTTTCTTCAATTAAATTAGCTAATATGCATTAGGAAGATCCAATAGGTATAAAATATATCAAACAAATTTTAGTCCTTGGTAATTATCTAATATCTTTCAACCAGTTGAAATGTTAAACTGCTAGAAGCGTTTCTCACTGAAGAAATTAATACAATTATGAACTTTAAAATAAAGCATCCTAACGACCTAACCTGCCCTTCACACGTAACCACTAGCTCGTCATCAGTGAAGCTAACGGTTGTCTCCCATTGAGCATTAACATCACGGTTTGGATAAAACACCTGTTCCACCCACTGAAAATCCCACTCTTCTTTATCTCCTAGAAACACATCATTCTTGATAGCCAAGCTGGCACTTTCCGGATGCAGCCCTATCGTGAGGACTTCTTTAGTGGCCGCTAAAAATACAATATCCCCCTCCCAGCCTTGCGTAAAGACTAAGTTCTTTGTTGAGAGTATGATCAGGTCACATGATGTGTTGAATGTGGTTGGGGTTTTGTGTTCTGCTGACTTGTACTGTAGTGATCCTGCAGAAGGATGGTTATTTTAGTATACACACATCACACATGGTATTTAACAAATTAATATTGTATCGGATTGGTTCAACGTTTTAATTCAAATTGGGCAATACAAGTCAACATGATATTTATAGATGTTTACCTTCTGTGTACAACGCCAACAACATCAGTTGAACAATTACTCGTATCATGCCGTCTTATTGTCGTTGAAATGTAGTTTTGCTTGTTGCTATTTACTGGTTATTATTCAAGATCAAAATATTGAAAGATGGCTATGAAATCGAAGAATATTCTCTGATTTACGAATAACGTGATGCTGTCTTAATACGGAGAGCAAATTACAACAAATGTGGTCGAATAGTTAAGAAAGTGTGAAATCTGCCGCTCACCGCTGACAAACGTTACATAAAAACTATGTTCTCTATACTTCACCCTGGTAAATAAACAGGAAAGTACTGAGAAACTATTAACTCTTTAACTCCATCCAAAAGCGAAGCTTAACAATTCCTAGCTTTATGAGAACAAAGCTAGGAATAGGAACAAAGACTAACAATAAAACTTGTTCTAATTCTGGAGCTACAATGTTCATACTATAACATATGAACAAAAGAGACCTATTGTATTCTACGTCTCTCGCGTCTGATATTCCAGCTGCTTCAAGTCCCTTGCCAAGACGCCCTCATATGAATTATGTAGCATTCCAACGACGCTCACGTGCCATTTATGTGTCATTTAGTCAGTAAGTCTATTAGACAAGTTGCTCTAAAATATGCCGCACAATATCATTGTTCTATCATTGTTCTATTCTGCTTTCCCTGCCAGAAGTGATGGTAACTTAGTCAAATATATACCACCGCTCCAGACCCACTCGCCAGGGAATGCTACATAATTCATACGAGAGCGTCCCGGGGCAGGAGGATCAACAAACAAGTTATTCAGGTTGCAATGGTACCTTTGGTCTAACTTCAATAACCTATAAATAGTAAGTAGTGAATTGAAAATGATGTCAAACACCAACCACCACCGCTCCATAGCAAGCTTCTAAACGGCCACTGGTCGGCTAGTCACTAATGGCCACTTACTAGCCACTTACCTGCTACTTAATTACTGCTCACTTGGCCCGTGGGCACTCCAAATAGCATTGAGCAGTTAACATTGAGCAGTTAATAGCTTTGAACAATGAAGATAACTAATAATATAATAGTTTTCGTCTGGCTCTAGCGTGCAGCAGTGGTCGGTGTTTGACCCATGAGTTTATCTAACTGAAGGCAAAGTAGGGATGACAAAATTACAAAATGGTAAGCTTTACAGCTCCTAATTTGCCTCCTAATGCCTCACGTGTGATTTTTAGTACCAGGTGAGTTCTGAGGCAACCTCTTTAGTGCTATATATAAAAATAGAAGATATAATACATCTTTTCGTTGAAAGTACTGAAGTATGACTATTTCAGATTTTTTGGATAATTTTTCTTTACCGAAAGTATTTATGGGTACTTCAAAGACAGCTCCAATCTCAAACAGATGGTGCAAAGCGATTACCTGCACCTGGTCGTTATGACTTCTTGTGGTACTTTAATTGTTTTTTGTCAGTCAAATTGTTATTTCAGTAGGGATGTACACACAATTTCGCTTTCTGATAGCAGTGATACTTTGACTGGCTGGTTGTTTTTAATAAGTTAACATGATATACCATCAAAATATTACATTCCCATTGAACATTGACATAGCTCATTGATATTTTTTAGCTCTAAAATTTATAGATTTCGCTTATTGATCGACGGTGATCAGATTGGTTTTATTGGGAACTAAAAGCTGGACAAGTTAAAGAAAGATAAAATGTTTGGGACAATCAAAGCCCACACAGCCATCCTAAAACAATGTATGTTGGATCTCGACATAGCAGCTCGATTAGAGAGAAACCTATCAAAACTAACCACGATTCTGGAACTTTACCGTAACAACTCCTGTAACAAATACCAGTGAATACCGTAAAACACTATCGACAGTATCCCCAATTATACAATCACAAATTACACAGTAGTACTGTGCCCCACTTCCTGGGTCACGTACAGACTCAGGAAGTGGGGCAGGTTATATATATCACCACTCACAATACTAATAACATTACACTAAACAAACAATCTTTCAAGCTTCCTACCTATTTCACTGTTTATCAGGTAGAACTCACAGCAATGCTTGTAAACACCTCTTAACTTATACCAAGCGTCTTATTATGCCCAAAAACTGGATCAAACTGGATCAAAACGGAGTAACTTATTCGAATCTGCTTTGGCTCTATTTTCATAGGTTTTAACAATTAACATCTCAGCTTCTCGGCATTTTATAATTCCTCGTCATTCGACCTACCACACTTCCTCCGCCATTTTGTCAAATATTTTCCCGGTATCATCTCCTTGGTAGGCAAAGCATCTTCATGGTAATCTCTTGTGGGCCAACCAAGTGCAGCCTCTCTTAGAAACAAAGTGTAAAACTTGAACCTGGGCCATATTATACTCTTACTAATTCCTCAACGATGCTAACAAAAATCGAAACTAGAACGATATAATCAGAAGATTGTAACTGCAGAACCACTGTTCCATCTTTCCATTTAATGAAACATTCCATGAAACTATCTTACATTCCATGTGGCTTTCTATGTATCTCTGCTCGTCTTTAAGACAGGAGCCGGTAGAAGTGGATGTTGGTCAAAAGAGCAAAATTAAGTTAGTCCTAACAATTTTCAGATTATTTGCTTCTGTAAATTTTGCAACAGCTGCTGCCTGTAATGGCTCGAGTTCGTCACGCATCAGTGTTCGGTAACTTAAAATATGCAGCACTGAATGAGTAATGGAGATTTTAATGGGTTTTAAAAAGAATACTACCAAACTTTGGACCAGTAGTTTTCTACTGTACACATCCGTGTATTTAACATATGCCTCCTGAAATTAAATTATAGTACTGTCAGCTCTACTAATGTAACAGCTTTTGTGTTCCTCTTTATTTACGCTTCGAGTAAAGCCCTTGGGCAAAAGATACGGAGGGTTGACCATCGAACCCTTAATTCACAAATTTGAGAGAGCAACAAATACACATTTTTGTAATATTTTCATGTTTCAGGTGTCAGACTTTGGATTGTCCCGGTTTGTATCCGATGACGAGTATACAGCCTCGGAGGGCGCCAAGTTCCCCATTAAATGGAGTTCACCTGAGGTTTGTTACATATATTTAGTTGAAACTTGATATTAGTGATGTGTTAAACTTGATTTGAACAACGTTTCATAACGTGGGGAGAAATTGAAATATGCCCAAAAAATGTTCTCTACAAATCCCCCTACAAATATTTGCACTATTTATAACTTTTTAGAAGTTGTAACTTTTAATGGGGTAGAATTAAGTGTAAACACTACGGAACAAAACAAATATCCTATTATCAGGTGATAGACTACGGTAAGTACAGTTCCAAATCCGATGTGTGGAGTTATGGAGTGACAATGTGGGAGATACTGTCGGGAGGCCAGGTCCCTTACAGAGAACTCAACAATCAACAGGTTGGTGTTTTATGTTGCTAACTGTGGGGGGGGGGGGGGGGGGAACTCAACAATCAACAGGTTGGTGTTTTATGTTGCTAACTGTGGGGGGGGGGGGGCAGGTTGGTGTTTTATGTTGCTAACTGGGGGGGGGGGGGGGGGCAGGTTGGTGTTTTATGTTGCTAACTGGGGGGGGAGGGGCATGATACTCGTCTCTTAGTCTTGAGATCAGCGTGATTTTTGTGCGTTTGTAATTGAAAGTATTGTTTAGATCCTGCAAAGACCTAACTAAAATATGTTAAGACATTCGACACTGAATTCTGTTACGTCTTACAATTTATAGTAAACTATTCTACACTGAGAATTTTCGATGTGATAAGTAGGTGATCGGAATGTGATAATAGATATTATTAATATAATCATATTATTATAATATATTATATGTAACATTTTAAAAACTTTGATTACGTAACTAAGCTACATAATGAAATACCACTCGATCCTAGTTGTCATAGTTACCTCAGACTTGAAACTTTCATCTCATCATTCTTTGTACCTGTAATATTCGGCAGTATTACACAAGACATTTCCGTTTATTTGCCTCTGATTAAGTTAGCGTAAAAAGGAAGTTAATGTAAAATTTTTGTAGCGAGCTCACATGGTGTCACGTTTCAAAGAGTATTCACCCGACCCTACCGTGCAATCGTGGCAAATGTGGCAAATGTAAATTACAGCCTGCTTTCAGTCTAAATGTTCTTTGAAGAATTAGTCTTATCAATTAACCACTGTCCAAACTTCCGTATTCGGCTTGTTATAGATACTGTGACATTCTTGTCGGTCACTCATAAAGTGAAATGTTATGCCGCCGAATGTCTTGATGATGAAGAGCAACGCGCACACGGTGTGTCTTTTACGCGCATCTGTAGAATAGATGATGGCGAAGGTCCAGCAAAATCCAAGCTGTGCTATTCATTATTTCAAGCAGTGTAGATGAAGGGTACTCCACCGTCGCGTGGATAAGATGGACATCTTGATCCTCCCCATCCCAAATTTCCATTTTCAACACAACCCGATTGAAAATGTTCTGCAATTGCACCAATGGCCATTGCACTTGTGGTGCTCAGCCCTGTAGATTCCGGATTTTACCAATTCTGTGACACTTATGCCAACCTAAGACTGAAGACTGTTCTCCAATGCAGCATAACTGCTTCTCGAACGGAAAAACAGAATAACAGCACGCGCCTCTAAATTATGGGATTCGTAAAATAATCTGTTTTTCGAAATCAGAGCTTTTTGTCAGAGCTTTTTGTCCCAACTGCAAATATAAAAAGCTGGCAGTTACAAGAAATTAACCTTTACCACCTCCCCCAGGTAATCGTACAAATAAGACGTGGAGGAAGACTCTCTCCTCCTCACTACGCCACACCCAAACTCATTGAAATAATGGAACGCTGCTGGCAACACGTGCCGGAGGACCGCATCACTTTCGAGGAAATCGTCGATATTTTGACTGAAGTAAATTTTAATACCTGAAGTCCATTTTAATAGCTGACAGATTTACATTTTTATCAATATCACTGAATGAGTAAATGCTTCATTATTCAGTCGATTAAGCAGAATGATAGACTTTAACCATTGCAAATTAACAAATGATAATAAAAATATCTTTTATTCACCCCTAATTCCTAACTTAACTCCTGGTACACCGACTATCCGAACTAATTTTACCGGATACATTATATTATATGAGTATTTACCTGTGATGATACTTTAATAGTTATTTAGTTATTACAACTCTGTAGTCTTTTAAATCTGTTCCGAATGCAAAAAAATGTCTGTTTTGGATTTGTGATAAGTGTTCTATTAACCGTTATGACTTCTGCTGTGAGTGTATGAATTATTTTTGTATGAATTTTAACTTTGTTTCCAGTTTTATGAATAGTAAACAATCGTGTTTGATTTGTATTGCATCAAATGACCTGGTGCTCTATGCAGGTTTTAGGTATTTGCTCTTGGGATGCAGATTCTCAGTCTTCATCGTGAAGTTCGTGCTAATTATTTCCATGGTACGTATGGAGCTACCAGATTTTTTATAGCTTCTACTACCTAGCAGCTATAGGATGCGGTTATATAATATGTACAATCAGTAACACAACGAAACACGATGTTGTTCGGAAGGAACAACAATAATCGTATGTAAGGGGTCGTTCACATATTGCGTAATCGCTTTTTGAACAATTTGTAACCCCCCTCCCCCCTCCGTAATCAGTTGTACACATAGCTATTGTGTCAAAATTACACTAGCGCAATCATTCGGAAACCCCCTCGGATGATTACGTAATATGCGAACGACGGTTGGAAACGTTGCACATTTGATGACCTAAAAAGTCGGTACTGGGCTTTCTCTTTTGTCTTATAATTTTTTCTGAGATCAAGGATGCTTCTGTGATGAACAAATTTTCCAACAACGGTACACGCACGAGATTCCAACACACACTGAATTCCGGAGCGGCGAACGGAATTCTGAACCTCAAACTCTGCCATTTTGCCATGGAAGTTAATAGATTCTCTTAACAGTTCTCTGTTAACGACATTAGTTGATCGCAACAGATACCACGTTTTGTAAACAAAAAAATGTTCGATAATGGAGGGTGCAAAACTTCATTACACAGATGAAATTTTGTAAATGACAACCGATTATTTGTGGTTTGCACACAAATGGGCAACGGTTTGGAACATTCCTACATCGGTGGTATCGCTGGTATGTAAAAATTTTACCCCGAAATATTTGTGTACTTTGTGTCATATTTATGTACCTTCGTCATTCGTGTACAAAATCAGATGGGGATACTTATTTATGCTGCAGCAGCAGTAGCAAAATGGGTGAGTTATGTGTTCTTCGTGTTACCCATTCATAGTGTAGATAATAACACTGTAACGCGAATAAAAATGAAGGTTTAAGAATGATTGCTGTGTTGTCAATGACATATTTCAAAGCGGAACTGTTTCTGAAACAGAATCACAATGACCGAGACAAATAACAAGCACTTCTAACTCCATTACTCTTACTTAACTTTATGATTAATGATGCCTTCTAGTCATTATAAACCTTGTATTCGCAGCCTTTTGGTCTATTCAAAATGTCTGTTTATTTTTTAGACAGGATTAAAGCGGTTTGTATTATCGATGTGATCACGGTGAACTGAACCGGTTACTTTTAGCAGTAATTTCTTCATATGGCATAACTATAACTCCACCCTCCACAAAGATTGAAAGGAATGCATTAAGGTGAAAGGAGTGGCAGATGGTTCTTTTGTCCCAGAGCCTAGTTCATTTAAAATGCAGAAAAGATATCTTCCAATCCGGCCGCTCCTACCTTCGTATCTAGCGGCCGGCATAAACGGAAACACAGACTGTTGCAAGCCAGTCAGCTTTGTCACAAAATAAACTCCGCGCCTTACGTCTTAGTCGTAAATTGAGACAATCTGCGCGCTGTGTTGCCACGTAGGGACAAAACTTGCCAAAAAGTTACCGGAGAGAATTGTTTCTATTTACGAAGCGGTAGATGTAACTATTAGCATTCCGTGGATATTTTCAGGGCTGGAACACTTCAAGACACAAATATTTTGTTTTCTGTAAACATTATTAAATATTACAGTACAATATATAAATCAGTAATAAAATAACAAATAACTTAGATAAAAATCTGTTGTTCACACTTTCTGCTTCGATCTAATACTTCTGAAATCTTTTTGCAACAACCTTTTGCACAATTCTTCACAAGCGACATCCTCTCGCTTTTCAATTGCTATTGAATCTTCCATTACATAACAATTCCATTCAAATCGGGCACTCGTAAATAACAACACTTTTGTCATCGGACACAGAAACAAGCTTCGAACCATTTTCGTTGTATGCTACACCCCAAACCTGAAATAAAACGTTTGATAAGCTTGATTTTGTAAGCCTTGAAGGGACAAAATGCTCGAAGAATATCGATGATATTTCTAGCAGTCTCAGTTAAAAAGCTTTTTTTGTGACACTATCTTTTAGATTGCGTCACTCCGCCACTCCGCAAATAAAGTGATCGGCAACATGCCAAATGAATAGCAATATTCTACGGCAGTTCTGGAAGCAACGCATTCATATTTCTCTTTGTGCATTCAAAGCTTAATATAACCGTTTAATTAGTAATCATAACGAGTTATGAATTTATGCGGTTGCCAAGTTATTCCATTAAGATTAGGCGAGCCAAATTCTCAATAACCTTCTACGCTGACATACATCACAATGTTACATTGAAACAGTCATATTTACTCCTTTATCAAAATGTAATATTGAAACAGTCATATTTACTCCTTTTGTAAGGAAGACTTGACAGATTGTCAAGGTAAATCGACAAGGAATCTCGGTTCAATTTTAATGAACGTGGAAGTACAGTAAATGTATTGATATAATGCTTTTGGACACGAAGGGAAACACACACGTAAGGCTTGAAATCTTCGTAAAACTACATCCTTAGAGCCTCAAATTATTTGTTATACAATAGTGTTGAAAGTATTAAAAATTTATTATACCTGATCATTGTGTTCAGTGAAAGTATGGACACATCTCCTCATGCCAGCATCCCAAACTTTAACTTTTCTGTCACTGGAACTGGTAGCGAAATGTGTGTTGTCAGGACAGAAGTCTACACAGAGGACGTAAGAACCGTGTCCACTCAGTGTTCCTGTATGTGAGGTAGAGTTAAGTGGTTCTGAGGTGTGATTTTATAGACTGATTCTGCTTTGATCAGTGATTCTAAGTGGTTACTTGTCTGGTGACGTCATGAATTTGTAGTTCATCGAATAAAAGTTGCATTAATGTAGTGAAATGGTACATTAACAGTTAAAGACAAAAGGCAAAAGCAGCTGCATCTTGAAATAAATAAAATGAACTATATTTGGTTATAAAGATGGGCAGTATGAGAAACCAATTTACTTAACAATTTACAGACCTTTAAAAATTGAGAATATTGAATTAAATCAATGAAAAAAACTGTATTTATACAATTGCTTTGAATGATCTCATTCAATATCTGTTGCTTATAAACAACGTTATCATTTCACGCCTCCTTGAACCCCATAATGAGTTCAATAAAGTAATGTGATACGCCAACAAACTTCATTTCTTATTAGATTTTAGAATCAGGTAAACAATACATCACGCCATTGTTAACCGCTGCGGGCCGTGTTGTTAATACACAGACCCAAGCTGGAGAATAGGCTTTGTGTTTGAAAAGGAGAGAATGCTTTGTGCCAATGGTACATGGGAGGGTGATATTCAGTTGTACCGATCATTTGTCTAGTTTACACTCTTGTAACCCCTGTCTACTCTCTTAGACCCAGACAAATATCCCAAATATTTATCATATTTATCATATTTATCATGTTATTTGGATTATATGTTAAAACAAGATAATCCAACCCACAGATGCAAATTCTGTTGAAGCCTTTTTATACTAAATTTGAACCAGGTAACAATTCTGTTTTAAATAATCATGATAATGAGGAACTAATGATCATTGGTCAGATGCCAGTCTACATTCCACACATTCATCTCACTGAGTACACGCTAATCACCCATTAAGATTGACAGGTGCATCTCTGTACACTAAACACCTTCCCGATGACCACACCCTAACCATGTTAATATCGCATATTGTGCGGTAATTACACTACACTGGGCACTAGACGTGTTAAACAGGTAGTTGGTAACCATAGTAACTTGGTATTTAAACAGGGTAACCGGGAATTTAGTAACTATGGTAATTCCGTATTTGGTAACAAAGTATTTGTTAACCAAAGCCAAGGCAACAAACCGTCTATATAATAAATATCATATTATATTGTATGGTAATTAACATTTCGGCGGGTAGTATACTAAGTCACGTGACAGTAGACTCAGTCACGTGACAGTAGACTCAGTCACGTGACAGTAGACTCGGTCACGTGATGGATAACGTGTACACTGGTTTGCTGATCAGGGATGGCTGGTAACGCCCAATGATTGACTAAAGATAGCGTAATGATAAACAGACGTCATATCTGTACTATCTGAGTAATTTGTACAGCTAGCTCTACTGATTTGATGAATACAGAGAATACAAGGAGAGGAGGGTAGAGTTCTGTATCTCGTTGTTTTATCATGATGGTAGAATGTGTAGCGTATCTATAGTACTACTGGTGGAGTACTACTAGTGGTATAGTACTACTGGTACACACTGTGGAGATGATCATCAGCTATATATCTACTGCTGTACAGATCATACTTTATCTGCCGTACATTATAGTTCATACACGTGCAAACTGGATATCAGATCATTGAGTTGAGGAAATGTATAGAAATCATCATAGTACCTAAACAGTAAACACGGACACGTTTTACAATGTCTTTGTGTTAAGATCATGGACAAATTATACTTTTTAAGGAAGAAATCATGCAATAAGTGCTTGTGCACACTGCACACTGAACGATTAGCTTTCGTACAGGAAAACTGATCCACTATCCACTGTAACATAATACATATTAGACTATAGAATTTTAACATTGGGGTCCTCCTCACCCTCCCCTCTCTCACCCCCTCCCCTCCCAAACATTGAGCAATAAGTCTTTAGAGACTATACTAGAGGGCTTACCACCCGCATAGAATTGTATATTGAGTGTTCAGGAGTTTGTAACATAATTAGCCCAAATTAGAATTGTGATCTCGTTTTTTAGCGTAGTGGGAGTTTAGCAAACCAACTGCGAATTATGGCATAATCAGATAACAGTTTAAAACTCATTACACTTAAAGTGCAGCCCACTCTCAAATACCACGTCAAAAATTTATCAAGTGGGGGAAACTAGTGGTAATCACGTGGTAATCACGTGGTAATCACGTGGTAATCACGTGGATCTCACGTGGTAATCACGTGGTAATCACGTGGTAATCACGTGGTAATCACGTGATAATCACGTAGTAATCACGTGGTTATCACGTGGATCTCACGTGGTTATCACGTGGTTATCACGTGGTTATCACGCGGATCTCACGTGGTTATCGCGTGGTAATCACGTGGTAATCACGTGGTAATCACGTGGTAATCACGTGGTAATCACGTGGTAATCACGTAGTAATCACGTGGTAATCACGTGGTAATCACGTGGTAATCACGTGGTAAAAACTATAGTGGGTCCAGACGGGGGTGTTTAATACGTTTTGACGTCAAGGAGCCTTCCATTTTAAAACGTTCTGGTTTTGAACTATATGCCGCGCCGTTAGGAACCTTACAGCTTTACAGTAAAGTTCAAACATTTCTGATGTATATTTAAAGTCTTAAAACAATAACTAGTAACCAACCACGTCCACCACCAGTGTTAAGTAACCCTAGTAACCAACCACGCCCAGCACCAGTGTTAAGTAACCAGTGTTAAGTAACCAAAATAACTGGTAACTTATCTATAAGGTGAGCAGTGTTAAGTAACCACAATAACTGGTACCTTACCTATAAGGTTAGCATGTTGCACGTCGTATATCTTGATGCAGCACCAGTGTTAAGTAACCACAATAACCGGTACCTTACCTATAAGGTTAGCATGTTGCACGTCGTATATCTTGATGCTGGTATCGTCACTGCAGGTAGTGAGTAGTTGGGAGTCAGGGGAGAATGTGAGGGATCTGATGGGCATAGCGTGTCCTTCCAGCGTGTGCAATAGTTTACCTGGGAGAGTCACGTGGTTACTAGTAGTTACCATAGTTACCATGGTGACGGGTCTACAGCTACCATTAGCAAGCTTTTAAAACTTTGATATCTCGTCGAATAATTTTTTGCATAAAATACCAATAAAAGTGGAGGATGTGATGCGAATCATGTGATGACACAAAATCTCAATTTTATTACTGAATATTTTACAATATGTCGATGATTGCTGAATATTTTATAGAATGTCAAAAGTATATTGACATACCGCATTAATATGCTTTGGTGCATATTGATCCATTACGAGCTGTCGAAATGAGCTCATATATTTGCGCTCAACCGCTTTAATACAAATTTTGCATTAAAATCACGAGCTTTATTTTTTAAAACGATAATTGTTTGCCACAAACCGAAAATCAAAAATTCTACCACGTTCTGCAACTTTTGGCCCCGTTTACACAATAAGAAGACATTAACCACAGCGCGGTGGTAAGTAAACCCTTCCTCCCCGTTTTATTGGACACTGCACAGTATATTGTATATTGTATACTTTTAATGTTACTAAGGTTCCGTTAGACTCACTAGAACGCAAAGCAATCTGAATTCTGAACTGATTGCACGATCAGGCCCCTTAAGGGATAAAGAGTCCCTTATATGGGCATCACGTGGTCCTCCAGGTACTGAAACTGTGGCAACGAAAGTTCTGCTAGAACAGCACAGCACTTTAATTTATCTTTTATTATTGACCAGACATCAGAGAGAGTAGCCATCGAGAACACCTCGTGCTACATCGATTACAATGACAGTCAAAACAGAGCCCTCGATATTATTTAGTGCCTCCTATAAAAATATATGGATAATGATTGCGTGTATTCCTTTGTGTGTTGATCTGAAGGCGCGATGCTGGCGTGCGTTTGATTGGTAAGTCAATCAGAACTTGAAGTGAATAGTAGATTGTCAATGCCATTTCGCCACCATATATGTCAGATTTCGAAAATATACCCGATACAGAAGATGGAGAGATTTAGATTTTATAATCGAATTTTAATAAGATATTAGGAAAGTTGGGTGTTTAAAAGCTAATTTCAGAACCCAATACAGGGCCCACGCAAAATTGGGAAATTTACCATTATAATTCGGGAGCATACCCCACCTACCAGTAGCTGAGGTAACAAAAAATATAATGTATTTATATTACATATCCTATTATCTTTGACGTAATAAACACTTAATTGGCAAAAATAGCTTGTGCCGCGACAATTAACCACGTAAGAGTTACGATCAGGCCTCAAAACCCCGCTGAATTTTTGTAACAGTAAAACTCCGATTTACCACACCCCTATTTACCGCGGAAATTTCCTTTCCTTTTCGTAGTAAATACTCAAAATCTTACAAAATGTATAATTAAATACCCAAATACTTTAAGTACCCAAATACTGAATACCCAAAATACTGAATACCCAAAATACTGAACTACCTGAAGTAAGGGGAGATTACCTGTTGCTAGATCAAATATACAGACAATGCCGTCAATTCCTCCGCAAGCAATGTAATGACCGTCAGGACTGTACGCTATACTCATGATAAACTTTCCTGAGAAGGTTGTAGGTTAATTTTCCTGAGAACCTGAGTTAAAAGTTCTTTTGTGAGTGAGTAGCTTTGAGTGTTGTTTATGGTTGTTGTAATAATAGATTTAGTTACGATATAAAATACACAATTAGAAGTTCTCTCACTAGTCCTGTGATTTAAACTGATTGTTTCTATATCTCTAACTATAGCTAGTTAAATAATATTAAAATAGTTATCGAACCAGGCCTTGCACTCTGCCACAATTCTGAGGAACTATAACCCCCTTTCCGAGGAATACAATTCACTGTTCAACTAATTCCGAGGAATGAAACATTGGCACTAGTACACACATTACTCCTACCTCTAGTATCAAGAGACTGCTCCAGCTTACCACTCTCAATACCGAACAGGTTTATTTTACCGCTATGTGAGCCACTACCGATATACTGGCCATCTGGTGAGAATGCCACCGTCCAACAGTCAACTGGTCCGGCATCTGTGGGAGGGAAGAAGTTTTAATTTACAGCATGTTTAGGGTTTGTTTTAATGTAGATAATTAGTAATTAGTAGGGTAATTACTAATTAGTAGGGTCAGTCACAAGGTTGATAAGAGTCGGTTTTCTTTCCAGAAATGGCAAAACAACCAAGATTTACCCCGCAAAGTTACTCAACTCATCTTTCTCATAGAGTCTCAGAAAATGATCGTGGGTAGAAAAGCAGCGTTCTGCTTCACGGTTATTTGATTTACACCGCCCGGCATTATATTAACCTTACCTGTTGTCTAATCATAATTAAGAACCAATTAATCAGGCGAGTTACCCAACGCGAGGAGATGGAACAATGCATGATCCAGCTAAATTGCTCTTAAGAGCTCTAGTGTAATTAATTAAATAATCCCACTAGAACTAAGCCGAACAAATTCCCACGGAGTTAAGATTATGAATTCAATACATCATGAATCGCTGTGTTCACAATGTGATTTAGTGTAGGCTGTGTGTGTAACAGTGATGTGACAGTTGTAATTAAAGACATTACAAACTCTAGAGCTGTGTGTGTAACAGTGATGTGACAGTTGTGATAACAGAACATTACAAACTCTAGAACTGTGTGTGTAACAGTTATGTGACAGTTGTGATTAAAGAACATTACAAACTCTAGAGCTGTGTGTGTAACAGTGATGTGACAGTTGTGATTACAGAACATTACAAACTCTAGAACTGTGTGTGTAACAGTTATGTGACAGTTGTGATTAAAGAACATTACAAACTCTAGAACTGTGTGTGTAACAGTTATGTGACAGTTGTGATTAAAGAACATTACAAACTCTAGAACTGTGTGTGTAACAGTTATGTGACAGTTGTGATTAAAGAACATTACAAACTCTAGAACTGTGTGTGTAACAGTTATGTGACAGTTGTGATTAAAGAACATTACAAACTCTAGAACTGTGTGTGTAACAGTTATGTGACAGTTGTGATTAAAGAACATTACAAACTCTAGAACTGTGTGTGTAACAGTTATGTGACAGTTGTGATTAAAGAACATTACAAACTCTAGAACTGTGTGTGTAACAGTTATGTGACAGTTGTGATTAAAGAACATTACAAACTCTAGAGCTGTGTGTGTAACAGTGATGTGACAGTTCAAGTGATTAAAGAACATTACAAACTCTAGAACTGTGTGTGTAACAGTGATGTGACAGTTGTGATTAAAGAGCATTACAAACTCTAGAACTGTGTGTGTAACAGTGATGTGACAGTTGTGATTAAAGAACATTACAAACTCTAGAGCTGTGTGTGTTGAGGTTTATTGGCTCTATACAGTATACACAGTTTGTTACTAGGACGATTAAAAGCTGGATTAATTCTTGCGAGTCTTGTATGAGTTGTAAGCAAATGGTTAGATCTGAGAGAATACCTGGGTCTCGTGTTGTGATTTGTTGATGTAACGTTTAGCAGATTATAAACACTGACCGCTAACTTTCGCTTTTTAGGCTGCGCAAACACAAAACTTGACACGCACAGCTCACTCAAACCTCTAGGTCACGAGGTTTTTAATGCATTAGTCAGAGTGAGAAGTGAATCATATTTTTGTTTAGACACGTGACAGTGATCCTTGGTTCTGGTCAGTCAATGCTTGAAGCTGATTGGCTAATCGCTGACACGTGTCAGAAAAATACGGTTGACCTTTCCACCATCATCATCAAGATTTATACATTTATAATACACACTGCTAAGCTCACTCCACACAGCCTCAACACTGTTCCTCTAATTATAATTATAATTACTGTTACACGTGTAAAAGTTATGCAATGTGTAAGCTGCCAAGCTGATCCTTTGTACCGTACTACTGGTAATTCCCGTGTGCTGGGTTTCTTACCATTGCTAGCAAGCCAAACCATAATTGCTCAAGTATTTGTGCACTTAGGCAATATTAATATTGAAAGATGGGATAATAATTAATAGCCACACTGGAATGCAGGATCTAGATGTAGTGTCTACCAGCTTACCAGATATAATATTACAGACCAGTACGCTTTCCAAGCAACTATATAATTGAGAATATTATATAATAATTAGCATTGATCTCTTCCTGGATTATACTTTTAAACTGCACACGGTTTATAGTTTAGAAGATTAAGTGCCAGCATTATACATATCTTTATTCTGACAGTCAGTGAGTCAGTAGTATGCGCAGTAATTCAGTTCTACGACAAACTGTCTGGTTAATTATATATTCTAAAGGCAAACAAAACAGCCCTGAGCTCAATGGTAAAGTTAAACTATCGGCAGAATGGAACAATCCCGACCCACCTTAAGTGGGAAGCTTAGGTGGGAAGTTTAGGTGGGAAGTTTAGGTGGGAAGTTTAGGTGGGAAGTTTAGGTGGGAAGTTTAGGTGGGACTTTGGATCACATCACTCTTTACTTAGAAGTTCACCTTATGGCTGATTTCAGTGTCCGAGCGTTTAGATGGGAAGTTTAAGTGGGACTCTTAGAGGATCGTGTGATTGGTCCGTGAATATTGTCAAGGACAGATTGTGGTGATAATCACAATACTTCGCCCGTCATTAAATCACACTATGGTATAAATACCGTTAAGATCATCATTTTCATCCTACCCTGCAACCACAATCTATCAACATGCCTTTCCAACCAGCTAGACTTGGACTTCACTTTGAGATAATGACCCTAGCAGCAACCGAAGACAGTTCCAGATCGTTCCTGATGACTAAACAGATTCTAAAACCCACCCAGAACTGTGATGCCTGCAACAGTCCCATGGTTCTCTCACCTTGTGCAGCCTCCAAATCTGCAAAAACTGTAAAAGATATACAACTGAAACTTTTTTGACTGGGTCAAATGCTTTAATGGCCTTCAAATCAGCATGAAAAAATAAAAAATTGGCCAAGAAATAGGAGTTTTAGAGCCCAAAATTTGGTACCCCAAGTGGTGTCAAAAACGCGAATTAAATAGGTAAATTAACTTTATTTACAGTGTCCTATGTAGTAATAGGAAGGTTGCGTTTAAGATTAGGAGCACTGTGGTTGTGAAATGTTTGGTAGTATAGGGACCGCTACACATTTCCGGGTAGTGCGACATTTCGTGTAATAGTTTAATTGTTTAACAGTTGGTTCAGAAATTAGAAATTTTTGGTTTATATTTCATTTTACACGGTTTGACTGTATTCGGTTGACTGGCAAACCTGCTGTCAGACCAACTGCCATTTGTAGTTGTCCGCTCTTTTGCACCTGACTTACAGCTAGGCCTGTGGTTGGTCCTCGCGACCACAGGATGACTGTCCATGTCAGTGGAGTGCTCATTGACTAGACTTGTCTAGACGCTGGTGCAGGCTGTTTGCGTTATGCCGTCACGCGTTGTGGCGTGACGAAGTTTTGAGAGTATACCCGGAGAGCTCACTTCTTAGTTGCCCCTTAATATTTTTAAGGGATTCGAATTGACGGTAGCCAGTCTTACTGAGCACTACCAATTGTGATTAGACACGTCAATCGATTAGAGCGAACACTTGGAGGTTTTTATCTGTTGACGTTCACTTTGTATTACTTTTCCATTTAATTAATTATCCATTTTAATATACTCGTTTCCTTTCTACCATACGGTACGCCCTGCCGTTCGTGCTGCGGGACTAGAGCTTGACTAGCATACACTAAATACCAAGAAACGCGGTTTTCTATACTAATGGTTACTAATGAAATGCTCCCCCTCCTGGAAATGAGTGAGTGATGTCGGACCACTTTCCACGTGGCTTCCACAAGCTCCGCCTAATTTTGTCATTGACATAAAGTAAGACAGCACAAATTGAGCACAAATCTTCGTAAAATAATTAATAAATGTAGATAAAGTGTAGATATAGTAACTAGCGGTACTAACTGTTTTTTAGGGCAGCAACTGGATGGAAAAAAGGCGGACAAAGATAAAAAAGGTTACTTTTTTTTCTTTTCTTAAAAACAACAATTATGTGCGCTTTTTGAAACAAGATCTTTCATTGTCCACTAAAAAAAACCTTCCAAATCACTGCTTTGTTTAGAACCCGTCGTAGAATTAATATAAACATTCCGGTGCAATTAAAATTTCGAAGGTTAATATGAAGCATTCTTTCCTTTTCACAACATATTAAGGCAATTTTTAAATTTAAAAAATCACATTCTTGTAGTTGCTTTTCTTACTTAAGTGAAACGGTAGGTGTCCCTTTCCCCTTGATTTGCAAAACCAACGTCGAACACATGGTTATGTTAAAAAAGAAGGTAGTAGCCTCCTTTTCAGCTCCGAAGTCCGAATAAATTGGAATGAAAATTAGAAATTTAAGTGCACTAGAAGTTCTAATTTTACGATGTAGTTCACACTAAGAGATAAAATCATCCGGAATCATGCAAGGTCGTTTCAAGACTAGTTCAAGGTTTAATTCCAATGTCCAAGACCCCTCATCTTACTCCAAGATGCAGTTGAAGAGGGGTATACAGCTGTAGAGGGGTTTAGATTAGTATCTTCCGGCAGTATGCTGTTTGATCATTTCCACCTCCGCTTGACCAGATTGATCTACTGTCGGCTGAGTTAATCTGTTTCCAAGGACTTCTTGGATGACTTATCAAGGAATGTCTATCACCCTGGTCTAGGGCTGGCTTCCAGTTGTCTCCTTCAATAAAGTCAGGTTTTTCCCAGCCACTCTCCTCCACTCCAGCACATCTCCAGGAATTGTCCGAGACCATGAGATCGTTTCCTTCCGAATCCTTCATGCCTGCTGCGATACCATAGCCACCAGCATGATTGGAACATTTAACTGCTGATGACCCGGGTGGGTGATGGAACACTGAGTGACGCTAGTGCCTGCCAGTTTGTGTCTGTGTACTTCTGAACTCCATCTATATAAACTGTTGTATGATCGTCACAAAGTACCTTTAACGAATAGGGCTCGCAAGGCTGGTCGTTGCATTCTTGTGTCTCCTCAGCATCTCCTACGCAGTTAGATCCACCGTAAGCAGGGGCTGGGTCGGAGCAGCTCCTCCTTCTCTTCCGGGATCCTCCTCCGCAAGCAGCCGAGCAGTCTGACCAATCCCCGAAATCACTCCAGGTTCCATCAGTTGGACAAGTGTGGCCACACTTTTTCAGGACTTGTTCAAGTTTACCGCATTTCCTCGAAGCTTTTTTCTTTAAGGGGGGGGGCCAATGGATATTTTTTTGTAAAACTTGATTTCGAGATAGCAGTTGACCAACAAACTAGGACCAGTGACCGAACTTTTGAGGGGGTCCCGGACCCTAACCGCCAAACGGTGCCTGCGGGGCAGCCACGCCCATATTTGGTCCAAATTAGGCCCAATTTAGCCAAATACCCTGAACATGCCCAAAACCCAAATTTTAGGTGCTCTACTTGTAGCTAGTGGTCTCCTGAACTCGTATATGAAATTTCATCAAGATTGGACAAAAAATGACTGAGTTATGAGCCAAAAACCATATGCCCATATTTGGGCATACGCACCAAATTTGGTAGATTTCGTCCCATAAATTGGTCAAATATCAATATTTTTCACTGAAAGTTACTTTATATGAAAGGTAAGCCTAAACTACATATTCTCTGTAAGTAATAGCTTTATATCTGTTTAAATGTGGATACTAAGGCGAAAAGACCACAAAAAATGAACTAAATTGCCCATATCTTGGTTCGCGATATTCGCGGAATTGATCTCATTAAAATTGTAACAACTCGATCAGTTTTCAAAATTTTTCCATGAAATTTTCGGAATCGACTCGAAATCGCATTTCCACCTTAGTTTGAGAACAGATTTTTGATTTAGGCCTCCAAAAAAATTTGGCGGCCAAATTCCAAAATTTTCCCGGAGAAATTCAGAATTTGGCCGCCAAATTTTTTTTGAGGCCTTAATCAAAAATCTGTTCTCAAACTAAGGTGGAAATGCGATTTCGAGTCGATTCCGAAAATTTCATGGAAAAATTTTGAAAACTGATTGAGTTGTTACAATTTTAATGAGATCAATTCCGCGAATATCGCGAACCAAGATATGGGCAATTTAGTTCATTTTTTGTGGTCTTTTCGCCTTAGTATCCACATTTAAACAGATATAAAGCTATTACTTACAGAGAATATGTAGTTTAGGCTTACCTTTCATATAAAGTAACTTTCAGTGAAAAATATTGATATTTGACCAATTTATGGGACGAAATCTACCAAATTTGGTGCGTATGCCCAAATATGGGCATATGGTTTTTGGCTCATAACTCAGTCATTTTTTGTCCAATCTTGATGACATTTCATATACGAGTTCAGGAGACCACTAGCTACAAGTAGAGCACCTAAAATTTGGGTTTTGGGCATGTTCAGAGTATTTGGCTAAATTGGGCCTAATTTGGACCAAATATGGGCGTGGCTGCCCCGCAGGCACCGTTTGGCGGTTGGGGTCTGGGACCCCCTCAAAAGTTCGGTCACTGGTCTTAGTTTGTTGGTCAACTGCTATCTCGAAATCAAGTTTCACAAAAAAATATCCATTGGCCCCCCCCCTTAACTTACCATCGCTGGATTCACAGCCCAGAGACGACTGGAAACCTTTCTGTAGGCACTTCTTGCTGTACTGCTTGATTTTCTTGTTCAGTCTCTTGTTCTTCAATGGACACTCGTACGAAGTAACGATTAACACTAAAAGTGTTAGCAAAACTACAGATGCGCAGAAATGTTTCATTGCTCGAGAGGATTAAGTTGATAGGAGTAAACAAATTTGAATCGCCAAGTCGAAGTAATTTATGACTAAGTAAACTGTGAGTTTTCTTTCTAGGCGGGGATTCAGCCGTTTTTGAGTCGGTACGTAACAGCTGCATAACAATAGTCCTCGCTCGTTCATTTGCCCTGAATGTCTCAATCTTTTAGATTCAAATCTCAACTACATTGTTTAATCATCTAAAAGTTTCATTATCGTCGGTCTTGCACCGAGGGCTAAATTTGACGACCTAACCAATTGTTTAATCTTCCAGCTCTCAAACTTTTGAAGTTTAGACTGTCCCTCATTACATCTGAACTAATATAATATATATATTTCTTTGGTGCACAATAGTAGTGGTGGTATGTCAACAAACTCCACCCCCAGTATAATAGTACTCCGTGCATATTAGTCATGATGCGATGAGGGAAAGTCTTGACTGAAAAAACAAAAACACAAAGACTTATTAAGAGACAACCGGTGCCAAACCTTGAAATTGTTGTTTTCTTGAAAACTGATAAAACTTTGAAGGAGAGCCAAGTTTGAGCTAGAATATGAAACAATTGCACTGCCACACGTGAAATGTTTATCTGACGAGGGCGGTAGTAAACTGACCACAGCTATAATTAAACCATATCATTAACAATAAGGGGGCCGAAATCTTATTCTAACTTACTAACCCAACTATAACCGTCCAAAAGCAGTCGAATAATTAATAGGCAGCTCCGATCACGGTGAATATGGTATCCCTAGTAACCCTAATAACTCTAGTAACCAGACTATATCATAGTGTTACTAGTAACCCTAGTAACTCTAGTAACCAGACTATATCATAGTGTTACTAGTAACCCTAGTAACTCTAGTAACCAGACTATATCATAGTGTTACTAGTAACCCTAATAACTCTAGTAACCAGACTATATCATAGTGTTACTAGTAACCCTAGTAACTCTAGTAACCAGACTATATCATAGTGTTACTAGTAACCCTATTAACTCTAGTAACCAGACTATATCATAGTGTTACTAGTAACCCTAGTAACTCTAGTTACCAGACTATATCATAGTGTTACTAGTAACCCTAATAACTCTAGTAACCAGACTATATCATAGTGTTACTAGTAACCCTAGTAACTCTAGTAACCAGACTATATCATAGTGTTACTAGTAACCCCTCTAATGATACGAACAACGCATAATTACCTGAATTTATGCCCGTATTTACCATAAACTTATGGTATTTACCTTAAATTTATGCATATTAAATATGAACATAACCTCTCTCTCTCTCTCTCTCCCCCGCAACTCATTCGAAATTACTATACAATCGTGTGATTGGTCCGTGAATATTGTCAAGGACAGATTGTGTTGATAATCACTTCACTTCGCCCGTCATTAAATCACACTATGGTATAAATACCGTTAAGATCATCATTTTCATCCTACCCCGCAACCACAATCTATCAACATGCCTTTCCAACCAGCTAGACTTGGACTTCACTTTGAGATAATGACCCTAGCAGCAACCGAAGACAGTTCCAGATCGTTCCTGATGACTAAACAGATTCTAAAACCCACCCAGAACTGTGATGCCTGCAACAGTCCCATGGTTCTCTCACCTTGTGCAGCCTCCAAATGAGCAGATCTCTACATTTGGAAGTGCGGACGCCCCTGCAAGAAGACAAAAAACATCAGATCCGGAAGTGTCCTGAGTGGATCCAACCTACCATTCCAGCACTTCTTGCTCGGCATCTTCAGAGGGCTGGGTAGTAGAGGGTCCGGCATCTTCAGAGGGCTGGGTAGTAGAGGGTCCGGCATCTTCAGAGGGATGGGTAGTAGAGGGTCCGGCATCTTCAGAGGGCTGGGTAGTAGAGGGTCCGGCATCTTCAGAGGGCTGGGTAGTAGAGGGTCCGGCATCTTCAGAGGGCTGGGTAGTAGAGGGTCCGGCATCTTCAGAGGGCTGGGTAGTAGAGGGTCCGGCATCTTCAGAGGGCTGGGCAGTAGAGGGTCCGGCATCTTCAGAGGGCTGGGTAGTAGAGGGTCCGGCATCTTCAGAGGGATGGGTAGAAGGGAGTCCGGCCGGCTGAGGAGGAAGAGGTCGAATGGCAGGAGTAGAAGGGTTTTCCAGCTGCAGTGTAGGCATTATGTCCGTCCAGTCGGGAAGTCCCACCTAAACTTCCCACCTAAACTTCCCACCTAAACTTCCCACCTAAACTTCCCACCTAAACTTCCCACCTAAGCTTCCCACTTAAGGTGGGTCGGGATTAAGTTTGTTCCATTCTGCCAAACTCTAACATCTGGATTCCGGATTGAAACTTACCAATGCTTTTGATCTGTTTAGAACTGTCAAGGTCCCAGAGTTTAATGGTAGAATCCAAGCTAGACGAGGCTGCCACAGTTCCCGCAGCATTGATAGTGACTGATACCACTCCAAGTTGATGTCCCTTTAGTGTAGCTCTGTAGTCTAGGAAATCATCCCTGGAAGGAGAAGAATGAAGATAAGGAATATTTTAACTGCTAATAAAATCCTTTTGTATCATGTTTTAAATACCCCCTCCCGGATTTGAACTTGATTTACATCATTCCTGGAAGGAGAAGATAAGGAATAATTGAATTTGATTTCCAACATTACATATTATTTACATTTACAGTTCGGAGAGTAGCCTAGCCACAGAAGTTGTGCGTTTATATTATGCTAGCTCTAAAAATATGTAAGCAATCGTGACCAAGGATTCGAGTTAAGTTACTGAATTTTGCCGACGTCAATTAACGACCATCCTTACTAACCAGTGACCAGCACATAATACGTATCAACTTAACCAATTACCCGTCTATTACCCACCGATTACCCACCAATTACCCACCAATTACCCGCCCAAACTAACCTCCAATTCCAGCTCTTGACCAGATCATCCACTCCTCCAGTAATAATATTCTCGGAGTTATCCTTCTCACTCCGTGCCCACGCAACCGACCAGATACTGTCCTCGTGACCGTCTTCTCGTTTGTGGAACATTTGATACATGGTGGTGGTGGTAGGGGTGGTACACTGGGTGGTACACTGGGCTAGAGGTGATGGTTTTGAAGTAAAGTTGTTGTGGTTTGGAGTTAATTATTGTTGAGGGAAGACTTGGGACATTTTATAAGAAGCTTTTTTTTATTTGAGTCATTTTCAGAAATGTTTCCTCAGTACAGCTCATGATAAGATTTTCAAACAAAATCAATGAAACTCAGTTACAGCATCATTAAACCAATTAAATGTAGAAAACAAAATTTAAATTTAATACAAGGCAGATTGAAATTATATCAATATAAGTATATAATATTATGTATATTGGGCTACACCCCTAAGTCTAAACTACAGCTACAAATCTACAACAGACTATGTTATCTGAAATTTTTGAACCTTTTATATCATAAGTCATAACGCTGCTCTAAGTTACAAAAATTACTATTTTAAAGCAGCAATATTTTTGACAAAAAATTAACCTAAAAGGTTAACAAGTTTTGGGTTATTAAGTTTTAGGTTATCAACCAAGTTTCAAGTTTAAGGATAAAATCACAATATTTGCAGGAAATCTAAGCTATGTAGTTCTACATCTGACGACGTTAAGAAGAAGATTGCGTAATTGAAAGTATAAAATTCCATCATTAAGCATTCAACCATAATTAATCATTAAAAAGAATAATTTAAGCGGTAGCCTTTAACTTTTTCAAATACTTGGTAAAATCCCATATAAGTTTTATGATCTATATCAGTTATCAATTTAAATCTTTATGATACAGGTTCGAGCTTCAAATATCCAATTTTATCATAACATTCTATTGTAAGTACAATAACTGAATAAAAAATCTACGTCAGATGGTATCATAAACAGTGGATTGGAGGCCAAATGTTTTCCCAAAATCTTCCAGCTCCTTGAAATCCAAATAAGGATCCATGCAAAATATATAATGATCTATACACTGCAATGGGCAATGTGAACTCTAAGAATACACTCTTTCGAGTTGAACAAACAAATCGGGCACTCATTATCTCTTTTCATTAAGTCGATCAATTTCATCTCCGAGAGTTTTAATATTTTCCTTGAGAGTGATATTTTTGAACAAAGTATCCTCTAAAACTTGCTGTAACTTTTCATTTATTTCAGTGGACAGCTTCAATGTCATCCCATTACTGGAAGTGCCCCACCAGCTTTCAGCCAGCGTAGCTGATGGTGCTGTTCTTTTGTACGCTGCACTAGCCAATTTAGTTCGTTCACCCGTTTCAACTCGGAGAAGTAAGCTCTGAATTATTTTAGATTTCTTCATAACATCTTTCGTAAGAGTACTAACATGACTTTCATAAAACTCAATCTTTTCTTGGCGCTTTGCAAGGGCTTTCTGTAAGGAACAGAGGCGCTCTATCAAAAGAATACGAGCGTTTTCAAGACTCATGGTGGCACCACTATCATTGCTAACAGATGCACTGTCTCCAGCTTCACTTGATGCACCAGAACGATCAGGCCTCTCACCACCTCCACTCTCTAAGGAATTAGTAGACTCAGTGCGCCTCATGCTCTCCTCCTGTCTCTCAAACTGTTTTCTGAATTGCTCTATTTGACGGATCAGGTCCTTGTTGTCAGCTTGGTGCCTCCTTTTTGAAACAACAGATTCATTCTTGAGATCATGAACTTGGGTTTCTAACTCAGATTTACACTGCTCCAACTCTTTGATTCTAACTTCCAAATCAGAAATATTTGAGGTTGATTCCCCGACTTGACTTGAATACTTTTGGGATACCTCAGAAAACTTGTGTTGTAACTCATCTCGTTCTGTTGTAAGACTGCTGATGATTTTGTTCTTACCCTCACACTCCATTTTCAAGCTGTTGGCTTCCAGTTGCAAGTCTGCATTTTTGCCTGATATTTTTTGAAAGTAATCTAAGTTATCTTTTTCTTTTCCAGTGAGCTCTTTATTACACTTTTCAACAGTTTCAACACGTTCTCGTATGTTTATCAGTTCGGTATCTAAGACTTGATTATTGTGGTAAGCATTTTTCAATTCTGCTTTCAACTCATTGTAGGAGTTCAGACGCTCATCAAGATCTTCTAGCTGATTGGCAAGGTTGTTTTTGTCACTTTCTTGAGTCTTAGATTCTGCCAAAATCCTCCTGTAATCAGCTTCTTTCTCAAATAACTGGTCTTTGATTTGCTCCAAGCGCCGGTTTGCATCTTCTGCATCAACACACTTATTTTCATATTTAGATTTCATCATCTCAAACTGACCTTGTAAGTCTGAGTGATCCCCTTCCAGTTTTTCCAACTTTGAGCCCAATGCATTTGACTGGATTTCCTCAGAATTCTGGTACTTATCTATCATGGCCTGACAGTTTGCTCTAATCATATCGGCTTCTTCCTTTGCTTCTCTTACTTTAGCATCCATTCCAGCAAGCTTGGAACGAGTTGAGTGATGAGCATCACATTCTGACTTCAACTTGGAGTTTGCCCACTGAACTTTTATGGAAGCTGAACTCAGATCATCCTGACATCTTTTCATGACTTTCTTAACCTCTGAAAGTTCATATGCCTTTAAGTCAAGTTCTTTCTTGAGTTTGACACAATCATCTGTGGACATGTGGAGTTTTGCTCTCAATCTCTCGTTTTCATCAGCTTGATTGGACAAATTTTTAATCAAATTTTCCTTATTGGATTGCAGCTTTCGGCGTGCATCTAGGCTTTCGTCCAAGCTGGATTTCATGATATCTTTCTCTTTTATACATTCTATAAACTTCCTATCAATATGGGATATTTTGGACTCATATTGCATTGACACCTCATGCAATTTTTTGGTTGATTCTTCATAAACATGCTTTATAGTACCATTAGCTACATCTAGTTCATACTCTAGCTTTTTAACAAGTTTCTGCAGTTCTTCATTGGATATAGGAGGAGTATTGTCGCGAGAAAACTCATCTTCTACACTTTCATCTAAAGATGCAGCTTCTTTTTTCACTGCATCATAAGCGTCAAAGTCATCTGAATTTGAAGTAATGCTGATACCCTCAGTGCTACTTGTGTTTTTGCGCAAGTAAGGAACATACTGTTCCTCATTAAATTTGTCTAAGTCAGTCATGCTTGACGATGTCATGGGAATCGGATCCTTCGATTTTGAATCCAATAACCTACTCGCTAGATTATTTAAGCTAGAGAACTTTGATCTGAGACTTGGCTTGGGGGTTTCGAAATTATCAAATGAGATAGTAGCAGGTGGAGAAACTGATTTGCTAAACTGTAGGAGTCTGTTGCCAAGAGTTTTGGCAATGCCAGTTGGATTACTGTTCACTGCATTTTCAATCTCCTCAACAGCTTTCTCTTCACTATCAGTTAAGATGCTGTCAGTGAGATCATCTGAGACATTAGTACTCTCGCCAAAACCATTAGTGTCAGCATGTTCCTCATCAGGCTTGTCAGGACTTGAAATGAGGGGAATTGTGGGACAGGTCGAATCATCAAGCAAAGCAGTTTCTTTCCTTGCATCTTCTGATACAAATTCGTGGCTCAGTTCATCTGATATACTAACTTCTGTCAGTGTAACATCCTGGAAAGTATTACCATTGGTGCCATTATTGTTTATATGATTATCCACGGTATCAAGCTCAGGTGCAGGTATGGAAATTTCTGAAGCATCCTTGCTATTACTTTGTACAGGTTGAGAGGAACCATTTAATACTTCTACATCTAAATGATTGTTGGTGTTAGCGGAATCTGTAGACACCTCATTATCATCTACTTCATCATCATCTGTATGCTGTTCAAGGATGTCTGAGTTTTGGCAAGATGGATGATCTTCAATCACATCTGCTTGGCATAAATCTGAACATTTACTCTCTGGGATCAACTCTGAAGGAGCAGGGTAACTATTTTGGGTTGAAGACAAGCAGAGCTGTTCCTCATCGTTCAGCATTACCCATAAATCATAATCCTGGAATGTAGGTTGATAAATAAAAGTCCTTATTTATAATAATACTAGGGGTACTGTTTCCAGTTCAAATAGTAAAAATAAAGGTTGGTTGAAAGGTGTAGGTTAACAATGTAAAAATCATTCAATAAAGAGTCTGATTAGATTGTTTACTAAAAAATATAATTTTAGCTCAGATATTGTGAAGGAAATAGCAGACCTGAGCGTGTAGACTTTAAGTTTTGGTCATGAACGCAAACGATCAGTTCAATGCACTGCAATGATCATAACAATGATTAAACTGTACATTGTACTACGAAACCAAACGAAACAAAAGTATTTACTACCCACTCCTATCCAGTAAAGATAATGTATAAGATATAATTCACTCAATACGGTGCCCATGTCTGAGCAGCTCTCCGTTGGAACATAAAAATAAATTGCCTATACTAACAGGAAAATTGTAATGCCAGGACAAACAGCTCTGCACAGAAATAGTAAAAAGGGGAAGTATAAAATGTGTTGGTCTTGCTTGAAATCAGTGCCGACCATTGCCATGTATGCAACTTTCACATGATAAACAAAACATCTGTATAATGTGTCAAAAGAATCGGGAAATCATTGATTAAATCAAATTCAGCAATCTTAGAACAGTACATAACAGTTTCTTTCAGTATTAACGATAGGATAATCGGAGTCAAAGTTACCAGAGCTGAACTTCAAGAGTATGGACAAAGGAATAAACGATCATAATTTTAGATACTTGCGCTCGATTCGTGAATACGATTTTGAGTACACGCAGTTTGCGCCGCGCAATCGGTGATATAAATACAAAATAATTGAAAATAAGACATATAATATGTAATAAAACATATTATATATATAATAAGAGCAAGACTGTTTAAAAGAATAAATAATGCTCCAATACTGAAATATATGATATCGAAAATCCTTACCGCATATGATTTTTTAGTTTAAACACAATGAATTTTTAAATTTTGCTTTGTAAATAATAAAATAATTGATGATGAAGGAAATCAGACATTTTTACCTTTTAAAAAGCATAAAAATATTTAATTTATATGTAAGTTAATCTAATACCAACTTTAAATCCAAAATGATTTGTTTTTATAATTTATCCATATCTTCATGCTTTAGATTAGTAGAAGTTGCGCCGCGCACAATGTACCGAATCCAATTTTCATAGAACCATGTTACACGGTACAAATTTCGCGTTGGATTAGACACGTAATGTGCAGAGTGCGGAAACAGATGGCAGTTTCGAATACCTGTTTAACCTTGGAACATATCGAGCCATAATGTCTGCCCCAATCGTTCTCTTATCTCTAATCTCTGCTGCTCTTTCAAGCAACGTCTTGGATCTTACAGCAAGTACCTTCGATGAGGTTAGCAGTGATTTAAATTACTTTGCGATGAGACTTTGTCACGTTTTCTTATTCAGAATCTATTGATAACATTAGTACAATTTATTTCTCCTTTTCACACCGGTTATTATTCTACAACACCTGCTCAAACTTATTTATCGTTTGTTGTTACAACATAAGCAGCATTTTAAATCCCACCTGTGCTGAATCGTTGAACTGGATCGGTTTAATAGCTCCACTACTTCAGGTTGTGAACGGTGACAAGAACGTATTCGTTGAGTTCTACGCTCCATGGTGCGGACATTGTAAAGCTCTTGCTCCTGAATATGAAATAGTCGCTGATGCTTACGCCAAAGAATCAAATGTTGCTATTGCCAAGGTAACGAGTTTTTAACATAATTTGCTTTGCAATTTACTTCCGTATTTCGTTTACAAAGAATTATCAGGTATCGACTACGCGACCTGGTAATAAAATTTCAACCAATTTGGCGAATTAGTTTTATTATCTCATCTCTCACAGGTTGACTGTACTATAGAGAAGGACATCGCATCAAGGTTTGGAGTAACGGGTTATCCTACCCTTAAGTTCTTCAAGAAAGGAAAGACTGAACCAGAAGCTTACAGCAGCGGCAGAACTGCCGATGATATTGTTTCGTAAGTTATTTTCATAAGCTAAAACTTTTCTTAAATTTACTTACATGAAGCAGTTTTAATTTTAATTTTTATGTGCTGAGTGCAAATTTCATATTCGGATTGCACAAATATATTCCATGTTTTTTTGTGGCGTAATTACTATTTATGTGATTTGACTAACTCTACAATTCCCACTTTTTGTTTCAAAACCATACCTCTCCAGATTTATTAACCGTGAGAGCGGATCCAGAGGGTTCATCAAGAAGGCCGCTAGCACAGTTGTACAACTCGACAGCTCTAACTTTGATTCTATTGCTCTGAATGCTAACAATGACGTTCTGGTTGAATTCTATGCTCCATGTAAGTTGCTGTTCTAGCTTCTTCCTGATGTTGTGTTATTAGTGTACATTGTTCTCCTGTTTATTTGCTCTGCCAGGTTGCAACCCGACAGTTCTTTGTAAATCGAAAGAAGTAATTTGAGACCTGCTGGTCAAAACAGAGCTGTGATCGAAGAATCTTAAACTAAGTATAATTGCCCTAATTTCTCTTCAACGAGCGCAAGCTTATACAGCACTACTGTAAACCGTGTTGAGTTTCACGACGACGACCACAAAGCTCTTTCTATTAACTTATTGATACTTATCGCTTATTACCACATCAAAACACATCAATCACAATAAGTATATTTACAGTCAAACTTGTTGCGTAAATGTGAGCTAATCATAACATTGAACGAGAACTGCTGCTTTGTGTCTGTAATGGCAGTGGTTCACACTCTGTTGATATCTCTTTAATGAGACTTGATTGAGGCCTCTCAACTTCCCTAGTTGAGTGTGTCCCACAACCAAGCTCATTGCCTAGAAGTCCTGCATTATTATAATGCACCTGGACATACGTGGCATGTATAAGCTCTCTAAACCAAAACCAAAACCAAAATCCGTGCAGATTCTTCTAGTTACGATGTGCAATGCAGTTAATCTAAGCTAAAATTACGCTATTGATTTTTCCCTTACGCTATCAACAGAGACTTCACTAGAATCTAAGAATCAGGTCACTTTTCGTTAAATTTCGTATTTTTTTAAAAATGTGTTAGCCGGTGTGAACCGGTACTTTAAATCATAGATTTTGTTGTTATCTTGTGGAATTGTCACACATTTATGGTAATGTGCACTGATGCCACTCGCAATCATTCGTACACTTAAATTCCTTTCATTGAGCAGTCAAAAGACATAAAATACAAACATTTTGTGGATTTTTATTGGAACCCTTTGTATTTAAACACTCCTGGTCCATTGTCATTTAAAAAACTATCACAGAAAAAAGAAGAAATAACGATGAAAAACATAGTATACAACACTAATAAACCTAGTAAGAGCAGTATGAGTCTCGGATTAAACAACACTAAGTACTCTAGTAAGAGCAGTATGAGTCCCATATTAAACAACACTAAGTACTCTAGTAAGAGCAGTATGAGTCCCATATTAAACAACACTAAGTACTCTAGTAAGAGCAGTATGAGTCCCATATTAAACAACACTAAGTACTCTAGTAAGAGCAGTATGAGTCCCATATTAAACAACACTAAGTACTCTAGTAAGGGCAGTATGAGTCCCATATTAAACAACACTAAGTACTCTAGTAAGAGCAGTATGAGTCCCATATTAAACAACACTAAGTACTCTAGTAAGAGCAGTATGAGTCCCATATTAAACAACACTAAGTACTCTAGTAAGGGCAGTATGAGTCCCATATTAAACAACACTAAGTACTCTAGTAAGAGCAGTATGAGTCTCGGATCTGCGGTTTGTAACTCTGTGCCACTCTCTGCGAAGATATTGTCTCATATGCTCCTTCCTCCATATGTAAACCAACGGATTGCACGCAGAATTTAGCGGCAAAGCCAACCACATCGCTATCCAAAACACAGGTGGGGGGATTTGTATCATGAAAACAAAGCAGAAGTAAGTTGCTATAAATGTCACGTTGAAAGAACAAAAGAGGACTGATAGGATGAAAACTGTTATTGTTGCTCGCTTATTGATTCCAGCCATGTTTTCTTGACTCCTAACCACAATTTTAAGTCTCGCCACAGAGAACGTGTTTGAGCACACCACTAAAACAAATATCATAGTCAGGACAATCAGTTCCACGATATTCATCGCGCTCATTGCGATATCAAATTTTCCATTGTCTGTCCAAAAAAGAAATATCAGTATGGTCTCCATCAAGGCTATCAAAGTGGCGTGTACAGCTGAGGCAGCTGCAATCCCAATCTGGTCCACCCTGTAGAACGGCTTGATAAAGCTGATTGTCCTCGTGATACTCAGCAGACAAGTTGTGAACCCGGTGCACTGTGTCGAAATTCTGAATAATAGTCTGAAAACATCGGTGGTCTTGTCGAACGCTAACTGAGGGGTGCCGCTGCTTGCGTTAGCCACATTGTGAAACACATTGACCCCTGTAGCTGAGATACAGACAAAGAGATCAAACGTGTTCAGTAAAATGAGGAGCTTGGATCCCATGCTGCGGCTGTCATGTCTGAGGAAGTAAGTAAGGGACACGAGGTTGGTTAGTGTTCCCACAACTCCTATCAAACCACTCGTCGCAGTTTTAGTGATCTCCACCGCGTTCATTCTACGAGGGTTACAAGGGTTAGCTATCATAGTTTACCCAACAAAATATATGTGTAAGGCAGCTGTATTGAATACGGTGAAGGCAAAATTGCTTTCAATCAACTCAAGTGACGAATAACACGTTGCTGTGATGAAATGAAATGCACGTATGAGGCAAGTGTTGTGACTGAAGGTTTCATTTCATTTGGCTCAAGACCATTTTAGCATGCGCACTGATTTTGCTCATGTGATTTGTGAATAAGCTGCGATGGTAATACAAGCACTTATTAAATGGGAATATATGAATAGTATAAAAAGTATGTAAGATCATGGTCGGCAAAAGACTATGTACTGAGTACTGACACAGTTATTCTGATCGTGATGTTAGTAAATTGAAGGTGGGGGGGGGGGGGGGGCAACCCCATGCACATTTATTCCTCAACGTTTACCCAAATGGGCATAGCTTTTAAACCCCCCCTCCTACCCCCGGCCCTACCCCAAGGAAATTAATTTACTGAGCATAGGCCTGGTGGTTTCTTGGAATAAATCACAATCAGTGATCAGGCCAATCATGAAATTGCTTTGACCACAAGACTGACGGGCTTGTATTGGCTGTACAGGCCTATTGAAGTCATAAGTGATAAAGTGATGACAGAACAAACATTTCCAATACTGAGAAACCAATAGAAAAACAACTATCGTCACGCCCTTCGCCTGGATCAAATAACAACATCGCTGCAATATTATAATGGCACAGCTATGCCACATTTAAAGAGGCGGACTAAATAAATAACACACACAACTCCAGGAACGATGTCTGCAACCTCACAACATACCATTAATCCTCATTAAAACTGACAACCTGTCGTTACCCTGTCGTTACCATTATATAAACGTGCTACGAAGTAAACGGAATAAAACCGACACTCCACTCCATTAAGGAGGCCCTGGCAATGGTTTTCGCTGCTCACCTGGTGTTCTACTAGAAATGGAAGATCGTTAGTGCTTCTTGTTTAGATGATGACTTTCGAGATCTGATTTAGTTCTGAGACTTTTGTTACAAATGTTATTAGTCAAGTGAGTAGGCATCTTAATTCAAGTTAGCCCATGTTAATTATTAAGGTAGCTGCGGTTGGAAATAAGCTAATGAGTTACGGATGGTAAATTTAATGAAATACTAATATTGAAACTTTTAATGCGACAGCAACAGCTAAGCTTGTCGTGAGCCTACCTGAGCTAAAGCGTTTAATGCGACTGAGACATTTAATGCGACAGAAACAGTTAAGCTTTGTCGTGAGGCCTACCTGAGCTGAGCTTGATTTCAGGGCGTAACCTCCCCTAACGTGGACAACTCTATATAATTGGAGCCTACTTAAAAGAGAGTGGGGCCTGCTTAGGACCTCACGAACATGTGCATTGTGCAACAAAAATGTTTAATGGCCAATATTCTGCCGAATAAGTAGGGTCAAGTCGTAATCAAAACCACTATCAAGAGTACCAACCTTTCAGTCTCATTAACAAAAACGAACGGTTTAATTAAATTGGGATTGATTTCGAAATTGATTTATGAAAGAATATCGTATTATCTGACAACCGTTAAGAGTATTCTTAATATCACAATATACCTGGATTTAATTAACAGATCGAATCTAACGAGATAGGCAATAGGCTCATGTTAAGATACACTATTGATCTGGTGGTTCTGATGTTAGCTGATAAGCTAAACGGTGGGTACCACGTGATGGTGACCACGTGGTTACTGTTGTGACCACGTGATTACTGTTTAGCAACTGCAGCGACTCAAAGGAAAGTGCAATTATTGAAATAATCGATCCCTGATTTCGGTGCGTGGAATTATTCGAGTATTGTCTGGAATTAAGTTCGGTTGCTTCGACAACTAATTAGATATTAAACTGTTGAGTTTAAGAATTTGGATAACGGACAGTTGTCAACTTTAAGAATGGCTCATTGACGATTTGACAAGAAAATCTCATTATTTATACAACTTTTTAAATATTTATAAGTAGTAAGTAAGGCGAATGAAAATACTTTTGACCGTTACACAAAGAAATATCAACTTAAACAGAAACACCTGGCCCTTCAGACTTAAAACTCACCACACAAAAGCTAAGCTACATAAGAGACTGGAATGTCGATAGTTACACATGAATATCAATAAGAAGCATAATCGTGCAAGATAACGCTAAAAAACAGTTACAATATTTATAAATGTCTATGGCACCACATCTCGAAGGACACTACGTGATTATGGAGTATGGGTCCCTTTATTTCCGAGACACCTGGTTATAGTTATACCGAGAGAATCGCAATCTTACTGCTACATGTCATAATATGTACTAATATAGATATATCGGTTGTAAAGCTATCGATACCGATTCCTTTTTGACATTTGCTGGAGTCTGGAAAAGGGTGGTGCAGTGCAGATGTGTGACGTAAGACATAATCACAGTGATACCGTAATATTAGTATTGAAACGACAAGACACAAGTATCAGTCATATGATGTGATTTACCTAATTAATTACATATATCCTGAGACGAACTTATTTCGCTTTTGTCATAAACGACTGTACGAAAAATGCAAGGGAAGACAGGAAATGAAATACTCCAATTATTTTAACCGTCTTACTGGCGCACAAAAATCATGAGTACCGTTACTCTTTCTGAGCGGCTGGTAGATTGTCTCTCTGTAGTTAGTCAAATTAAGTTGGCACTATTTTGCTTCACC